AACCACCATTTTCGCACGTCGGAATTGATGTGTTTGGACCATTTTATGTTAAGTATGGCAGATCAGAAGTAAAACGCTATGGTTGTTTGTTTACATGTTTTTGTACTAGAGCCATCCACATTGAAAAGTTGGACACCATGGACACAGAGTCGTTTCTCAATTGTCTTAGACGTTTTATTGCCCGTCGGGGCCACCCAGAGATCATTTATTCAGATAACGGTACCAATTTTGTCGGTGGTGTAGCTGAGTTGAAAGGTAGTATGAAAGAGCTTTCCCAGAAGATTCTCGATGCATATGCAGTACAGCAAAGTATCGTGTGGCGTTTTAATCCTCCCAAAGCTTCCCACATGGGGGGAGTTTGGGAACGTTTAATTGGTGTAGTTAAGAGAGTCATGGTTGCTGTACTCCCTAGAACTGTCAGATTAACTGATGAAATTCTGGAGACTGTATTTTGTGAAGTAGAGGCCATTGTTAATGGACGACCATTGACTAAGTTGAATGATGATCCCAGAGATCCATCGCCTATCAAACTAATCATATCCTGCTCTTGAGAAACAGTTCCAGCCACCCGCCTGGTATGTTTAGTCATGAGCACCTCCGTAGTCGCTGGAGGCATGTTCAGCATTTAGCTAATCAATTTTGGAGAACATGGCTCAGATTTTACCTGCCAGAGTTGCAAAAGAGATCCAAGTGGGTGAATCCTACTAAAAATCTTGCCGTGGGTGACCTTGTGTTACTTTCTGAAGAGAATACCCCCAGAAATTTGTGGCCACTTGCTCTTGTTAAAGAGATTACTCATGGTAGAGATGGTTTAGTTAGATCAATTAGGTTGAAGACCCGTGCCACAGAGCTTGTGCGACCAGTCACCAAGGTGATTTTGTTGGAAGGCTGTAAGGCGTCTTAAACTGTCCATTGATTGCCTCCATATATCTAATCAGTATGATTGTCAGATTTTGAAGACATAGTTGACCAAGTCATGCCTTTGATTATCGATTCATGTTATAGATGTGATTATAATTGTATAAGATTGTTGTTTGCATCTACTAGTTACATGCAGTAGTTTATGTGTTGCCTAATATTTACTATGATTGTATAAGTCTATGGTCATGGTGTATATGGTTAATTTCAATATTTTTTCAAGTTTTGAATGGATGTTCAAAAAGGGGGAGTGTTATCGTCGCCGATAAGTTTTCTTCACCACCGCTCAGTTTTGTATGATTAGCATAGAATGTCAGGTCATATTTCTTTATTCTCTTATATATATTATTATTCATCAACTAGCTTACGTAGCATTTTAAGGTCATAGGGCGTTTGTCAGCCAATAGTATGTGTCAGAATTCATCACGTGTGCTCGCTCTATATTTAGTCTGGATAATTCCGGTTTCGCGCCAGTCTTCGTCAGGCCACCGAAAGCTGCGAAGACTGTAAGTTTTCGTCCTCATTTTTTGTGCTTTATTTATAATTATTTGGGGGATTTCACATTTGTTATATAGTATCATATTTTGTGTGTGCCTGTACATTGTGTATTTACCTGTGTATTCTGGCTTATTTGACTTTATATCGGTGTATTTGTTTGCAAACGTATTGTTCACGTAGGCACAAAAAATGTACATGTGCGCGTGCTTGCACGCGTGTTTTGGTTTACCAGTTACGATATTGATGGTAAATAATGTAATTCAGCGCTGTTATCTGTCAACTTATGCTTGTATTTACAGCACCAGAATGCCGCTGTGAACCCAGAAAACTCCTGTGAACCCAGAAAACCCCTGTGAACCTGCATAGATATCTGATACCCATCCATTGTGTGTAGCGACGGGTGTTAGCCCCGCATACGATTTGTGAGTTGTATTTTGATCCAGTCATTTATAACTGTAAACTTCATTAAGATCTGGAACTGTATGAATGCTGTGCTCCAACTAATTGTCTTGTTTTATTGTAAACATATTGTATTATTGTCCTTATTGTTTCCATGTAATTTTATGTACTTATTTGTTATTTATGTTTCAGTTTTACCTGCCTACTGTATTTTACGGGCTGAGTAATAAAACGAAGGGGAAAACATCCTGGTGTCACCTCGTCAATTTTCTTCGGTGTCACTCATACACACGGTGACAAAGGGCCTAGGGGGTTAGGGTTAATACAAATGAATAATATGTGTAGCTAAAGACTTAAAATCCTTGGCGTTTTTATCAATTCTTGTATTTAAACTTCCCGTGTTTGATGAGCCCTCTTTTGGATTTTTGAGGAGTGCTGTTTTTTGTGCTCCTTCGAGACAGTTGAGGAGTGCAGTAGGAGCGCCTGCGCGATCGCGCTTCAAAATGAAGGACTGCTTGAGTAGTACATGTATAAACGCTGCTCAAGTCAAATTTTGAACCTGTTCCCTTGATGTTTGACTTATCGAGATTTCACTGTATCAAATTTGTCAAAGTCAAAGTTAAAAGTTAGGTAAAATTAAAAATGCAGACAGAAGCCTCAAAGTCAAAATGGACCAAATTTCTTCCAGCATTTGAATAAAAATGTGTAATGAAATTTGTCAAACCCAAGAGGATGCAATTATGGTTCCGCTGGAAATGGTTGAATTTCATGATTCTTTTTGTGTTCTGACATACTAATATTATTAACTTAAATGAGCAATGTCCAGTGAAACAGTTGCCTGCCTGATCACTCTGTTTCTGTAGTAAGCTCTAGTTTGAAATATTTGTTTAGATTGGCCTTATTAGTTGTAGTGCCCCAGTAACTAGCTTACGTGTAGAATGTTAGGGTAGGTTGTACATTAGAATGACGACCAATGAGTAATCTGAATGCTAGCATTGGTCAAGGCGTTTTACAATAGAGTCGATGATCGATGATGATGGTTGGCTGCGAACATTAGTAGGTGTACGCTATGCACTTGCAAGTACTGCACAAAGGGTGAACAGCTTGGATTATCTGTGGGCCATGGCCTCTGTTTTTCTTTATTTTGTCGTTGGGTTTCCAGCAACAACCCTGCATGCAAACAGAGATGAAATTATTGTTCAGTTCTTGGTCATGGAGGCTCATATTTTACATGGACAGAGAGCTGGATAGTGTGGCTACATTCTCCAACAACATTGGAGTCAGCAGACCAAAATATAACTCGATATAAATCCAGGGACAAAATAAAGAAAATTGCCCGAAACGATAGGCCATAGCCAATGGATGTTCCAAGGGGTTCGTTTAGCACCACCTGATTTGCATATATCGTAGCCTAGCTGCGTGAGGTCACTGTTTGCGCTTCATACGGTACGTACGTGTGATTGCATAGTCTTGGCCCCAGACGTCAGTGATCAAGAGCGATAGTTGCATTGTTGTGTAGCGCCCTTGCATAATTGCTTTTTTTTTTACTTTCTCTCACCAACGTCTTGGTCATTTCACAGCAATGGGGGCGGGGCCATTTTATGTAAATAAGACCATCTGTATAATTTCGAACAACCACAGTTCCTTTTTATAGCTCCATGTTTGATCACTGCACGTATAGCCTTTTCTTGATCGCTGATTGGTTCTCTAGGAAAGCCTAGGGAGAAAATAAAGAAAAAGTTAAAATGCTGAAACTAAATGGCCAAGACTTTAGTGCGATTAGGCCCGCTGGTCTAATTGTTGTGCCATTAGAGAGCGCACTATGCACCACTATCGATCACTAGCATTTTAGGCCAAGACTAGTGATTGCATAGCACGCGGCTAATGTTTTGTTAGTGGTTGATCATCGGACTCTTAAAAACTCTGGCTTAAATTTGCATTTTGGATCTCCAATGGCAAGTACTCCGAGATAAAGGTTTTCATCTGACATTATTCTGTTACTATTACAGTGCACACTGATCCCCTATCAGGAATTTAATGTTTCCTCTTAAGTCCAGCTGTAATTTAGGTTGCTTTTTTTTTCAACTAATGCTGAGCCATCAGAACAAACCTCTCATGTTCTGAGAGTCTGCTAAAAGGTTCCAGGGAATCCAGGGCATACCACTGTACCGGTACCATTAAACAACATAAACACTTGATAAAATACTGTAATTAGATTAAATTTAAAAATTATGCTGTCCCAAAGACCATTTTCCACCATAAACAGGATAAAATATGCTTAACAGTAGTTTTAGTGCTTGAGGTTCTTTGGTTTAAGATGAACAGTTATCAATAAAATCAACATTATCCAGCAAAAGTCAGTTTGGGCATAGTTTGGGTGACTTGGGATAATAATCTTGGTTACTCACGTTACATTTTTGGTTACTCACATTACAAAAGTTACTCACGTTACCAAGTTTAGTTGCCTTTTATTCTTAAATGTGTTTATTAGTGTCAACAAAACACTTATATTTATATAGTTCATGCAAAGAATGATAATCTTAAATACCAAAATTTAATTCATTAGAAATGTTTGTGAGAAAAAACTTTTATATATTTTCGGTTACTCATGTTACATTGACTAAAAAAAGGTATAAAATGCTGCTTTTTGACATCTAAAAATGGATGGCGGCTGTGAATTGACATATGTTTCAGAGATTAAGACTATCAAACATGCTAGAAATAAGGTTATGATTGAAATATCTTAAATTGCATTAATAGCAATGAATGTTTAAACTTTATCAAATTTTTTGAGTTCTTTGTAGTAAAAATGTTTTTTCACTTTACGACACGGTTTCTCAAAAAATGTTTGATAAAATTGGGTTTTCTTTGTTAATTTCTCATACTTGAATGAATAATCTGTAATAAAAATGTGAAACTGGGTTAAAAAAAAAAAAATTCTTAGCCATGTCCATCAAACCGTGGAATTGCCTCTAAACATTTAATGTCTATCAATTAAAACAGCTCTGCTGCCTCTGCATACAAAATAGTAGTTGGGACTCAAACCACTAATTTGCATTGTGCCATACTATCAATGGATGGATGAGCTTGGTTGCCCTGTGTGTAGAGATCTCATGCAGAAGCGGGTACTGCAGTCAATTGGATTGTTTTAATAGTTTTCTTTTTTTACATTGCATGTTTTTCAGGTCCTGTGTATACAACCTTTACCACAATGAATCGCAAAGCAGATAGGCCAAAGCGTGGTAAGAAGCCTCAAGTAGACCAAGAACCTGAAGCAGAATCATCCTCCACACGGGCCAAAAGGAGCAGAGGCTTGGCAGAAGTTAAACTTCAACCAACTGAAGAATCTAACCAAGATATTGCTGTCAGCCCAAGAAGAGGGCGAACCAATGGAAAAGTGTCACCTAAGAGAAACTCACAAGACAAATCCAGCTCATCCATACCAAGCACCAGCAGTACACCACCACCTAAAAAGGGAGGGAAGAAGGTCCAACAACATAAGATAGACAAGAAACGTGATGCGAGTTCTGATGATGAAAGTACTCTGAGTAATGTATCAATGCCAGAAGACATAGACACTCCCAATAGAAAGGCAGCCACTCTTGGGGATGACTCTGAAAACATCACTGGTATTAAAAGGAAAGCTTCATTTCCTGACACTGCCACCCCATCCAAAAAAGTGGCTCTTGATCTGAAGGAGTACAGAGGTCACCGTGTGCTAGCTAGGAGAGATGATGGCTATTACCCTGGTATCATCAAGCAACAGCGTAAAAATAAGGAGATTGGGGTCATGTTTGACAATGAAAAGACTGTCAAGTATTATTCTTGCATTGAATCAGATGACAACATTGATGTTGTCAGTGACAAGGTACCTTCTTATACCAAAGTTGGTATTGGATCAAAGATTTTGGTTCAGAAAATACCTGGTCAAGGAGCCTTTGTTATGGCTGTCGTCAAAGCCGTTAAAGTAGCAGCACAGCAGTATGAAGTATGTACCATCACTGGAAAGGGACTTGAAGAGAAGATTGTAACACCATTATGGAAGTTACGTCTGCTACGTTGGCCTTGGGGACCTGATCCTCCCTGTGCAGTACCTCCCATACGTCAACTCTCCTACAGTCCTCATTCACAGTATCAAGAATCAGCTACAACACAGGAAATCCACAGTGAGCTACTAGAGAGTTCAAAGCAAAATGAGGATTCTGATGATGATCTTCAGCAAGAAGCTGTTCACTTTGACCACAAACCACACCCATTGGTGTCTGCAACCAACACCCCATCCTCTCTCTACTCCAGTGAATCCGACTGTCCAAAGGTATGCAGTCTTGCTGATCGTAAACGTCATATGAGTGGTGCTAGCACAGCCTCTTTGGCATCTATTTCATCAAGTTGCACCTACTCAGTTTCTCCAGTCAGTCCATCACCCAAATATAAAAAAGGTGATGTGGTTTGTAATCCTAATGGTGTGCGCAAGAAGTATAATGGGAAACAATGGAGAAGGCTGTGCTCAAAGGAAGGTTGCAACAAGGAATCCCAGCGCCGTGGCTACTGTTCCAGACATCTATCCACATACATGAAGAGTAAAGGGGTGTTAGGTGATGGACAAACCAGTGATATTGAATGGGACAGTGACTCCCGTAGTTCCAGTCTACGAACAGGTAAATGTCAATTTAAATTTTTGGTCGATGAAACAAATTCATTTGTTTTTTACCTCAAGCGACATCGGCATTTCAGCTGTCAAATGAAATGCAGAACACACCTACAGTACATACCTACAGTACATTATTTGTTGTGGATATACATGTACACACACATATGGTCAATAGTTTGGGAATGTTTGATGTCAAGTCATAATTTCACCATCAGCTTCTGAATGTCTGCATCAAATGATGACTTCTTAATTTGCAAGATTATTAAGATTAGTATTGTGTGAATCAATGTAACTGAAAACATTAATTGCAACAAATATGAGTGCAAAGTGTAACTTCGATATTGTACAATTGGGGTTGGTTGATCTTAGTAAATGACATGTACATGTTATGTTGTGCTAGACTATGTAGTCGTGGCTTTTCCTGTGTAATTTTCAGGTTTTCTGTAAAACATTCTACATCTGCTTTTATTTCCATTTGGATTTCAGATTCCAGACCACAGATAGACCCTTCCAAATTTGACATGGACGAAGCAGAAGCTGCTAACATCATTCTTGGCTTATCACAAGGAAACTCCAGGTCCTGTACTCCATGCCAGTCATCAGTGCCACATTCTCCTCGCTCACAGTCCAAGACACCTTCACCAGCACATTTCAATTCACTCAGACCACAAACATTCATTCCAATATCCAAATTGTCGGGTTCCTTACAAGGAACGCCCACACCTTGGAGTTCCGGCACACCGTTATCTGGACGATCATCAATAGACATCACCTCACCAGGTTTGCCCAAATACAGTACGAGTGCAACGCCTACTTTCCAAAACACTCATAGTTTTGCTACCCCTGTCAGCCCCAACAAGTTGAAAATGCGTATGGAACATGCAAGAAACCAGTCGCATGAAGTCAACATTGGAAGAAGTGACAGTAGCGACTCTGGAGTGGAGTGCATGCACAGTACAAGATCACCTACACCTGCTCATCATGCTTTGAATGTCACTCCCTCCCCTAATCATAACACTGCATCCCACCATGTCATATCGCCACCTAACATCATGTCACCCCCGGCAGCAAGGCAACAGACTGCACAGGGTTATCAACAACCAAGTACCACCTATTTTCAGTTCCCGTCACCTTCTGAAAATAAACTAAGGGCTGCACTGTTAGCTCCAAAGAATCCTGGGGCTTGGCAGAACGTTCAAGAAACACAGACAAGCCCTGAAGGCAAACCAGCAACACAAGCCAGGATGATGCAGGATAAGGTCCATTCTCCAAGAACTAATCTGACTGTGGAATTTGAGAAGCTACAAGGCAGTGTTGCAACATTAGCACATGAGAGGTCCGAATCCCATCACTCATTACCTCAGCCACAGCAGGTAACAATTCCAGTAACTGTCAACGATACACCTGGAAAGAGACAAACAGTGGTTCAAGCAGCAGGACAGGTTAATAGCAATGGTCCTCCAAACCAATCTCCATCTGAGCAACAGGCAACACAACAATCAGTATCTATTCCACCAGTGAGACATGCCAGCAATCAGGACAGTAATGGCACAGGAAAGGAGGGAGGGAGCGGTGGCAACCCTGGACAAAATGGTAAATATACCGCATGCACTTGTCTTGTTCCAACTATCAGATCACAAAGTGTATGTTTAAAGCTCTAGTCTATCATTTGCAGCTATCTGAAAAGTACCTGGCATAATTATTGTTGAAAAACATACTTGGTTGAAAGATAGTAAGGGATCTTAACTCCCTGTGAAATTATTCTTTCTGGCAAGCTATCATTTTGAAGAAATCAACGAAGTTCGTTTTATTATTCTGCGAAGCACGCACTAGCATTGGCACGTCGCACACGCAAGTTGCTATAATTCGCCGGATCAGTGCGCAACATAGCGTAGCTGCAATCGGCTCAGTGAGAACGTGTCTCGGACGCTGAATTCAGGCCCAATTCAAAACATAATTCAGCAACTTTTGATTTGAAATTGAGATCCTAGAATGCTGTTTTTCTCGTAAAATACAGCTGAAGCTGAGCTGAAACTTCATCAGGTTAGTTGTTCAGTACCCTTCTTTAGATTTTGAGCACTTTTGCTGCTTCAAACGAACAAAATGCACAAATTACAAATGATGGACTATACCTCTAAAATATAGACACAATCTCAGTCTTATAACATGTACTGCAAACAAGCATAGTAGCATACAGACAAGAAACGGCAGTATAAAGAGTGCATGCGGAACAAATGTGTCCTTTTGTTTGCAAAGGGCAAATGTACATTTATTATTGTCACTATATTGCTTGCGGTAAGAAACAAAGCTGCAGATTGAAGGAAAAGTAAGGCATAAGATGCTTTTAATGGTTCATTTGCTTGTGAAGCCATTTAACCATATAAATATATTTTGATTTTTCACCAACAGTGTGGCCGTGCATTGTACCACCGGGTCATGTACCGGTATTCTACTGGCATTCACTGGTTCCAATCTTCAATATCAGTCAGCCACCTGCATCCATACCAAATAGTAATGTTGCATTGGCTACAAACCATCCCACTCCTGCTGACCAGAAACAAGGTATGATTGTCACTATGGGCTCTGTGCATGAATACTAGACGGTGCTTTGTGACTACCCATGACAGCTCCATGTGCAGAACATGCTGCATTGGTGCACCGGTTCACAGCTTTGAAGCCTGAAGTGCACATGAAATAATTTCTTTTGAATGTGCACAAACATGAAGCGTCATTGTGTGGGTGCCTGGCACAAGGCAGCTAATAGTGTGCATGAAAATGATTGGCACGAGCTTTCTGTGTGTATTTTGTGTTGAGTTGAACACTATGCTTCCTATGAGCAGACTAAATTGTCATGCGTATGTTACTCATTGGAGGTGGGAGGGGTTGTTTGCAATGTTGCTTCTAAGCACCGTCTAGCATGTCTAAACAAGTTGCCTGTGTTCTGGTGGAGACTGCAGTAAACTCAGGCTAAGCCGGCACTCTCGGGACCCGAAAATTTGTGACGGCTTACGCAAATGCCGACATATGCTGTAACTCGTCATTTTGCCGACACATGATTCATTGCACTAATTGGCTTCGATTTACCCTGGTTTATCTCCTTAATGCTTGAGTTGAATCCAGCAAATTAATCCTCCAATTGTATCTTCACGTTTGGGGTATTGATAGTGGAGACTTCGATACATAATTATGCACGTGCACAGTAACGAATTAAATGTGTGTGTGGTACGGTATATACCACACACGCATTGACTGCATCATGCAATAGTCATTCAATAAGACGATCCCCAAAATGGACAGAGCGCATGCGTACAGCCTAGAGGGGGTACTGGTATTGATATGCTCATGATGTACATGCGATGTATGCAGTAGGACACCCTTTTTCAACACCGATGCATGCAGCGATCATGGGCCGTGCGAAACCACTTTTCACTTGACACTTTGCCAACTGCAGTACAGGAAGTCGATGCTAATGGGTTACTTGTTGAATGCTGACTTACACAAAGGATTTTGTAATGCTTTTCATGGAAAGGGGACCGAGAGTAACACGAGGACTTGAGCGAAATGGCGACTAATAAAAGCCGACTTAAAATTAAAAATTCAATGGAAATTTTTTACGGACATGAGCGATTTGACGAGTTGTACGATGTCAGTTTAGCCGTAGTTTACTGTACGTTTATTATGACACTTGGGTTGCATTTAGAATGAAATACTCTTTTCAGAATCACTTTTTCTCGGCGTCAAGATGTTTCAGTAAACTGATTGCTAGTAAATGTTTGGGCACAAGCCCTTAACACACATGATTGTATCTCCTCATTCTCATGCATATTCATTCACCATGTGTTAGCCGCTAGTTTTGCTGTTGACCAAGCAGGCACGCAAGGTTTCACGCACAGGTTCAATACGCATGCTTGGTAGACTATCACACTAGTGCTCCGTGCGCTAGTCTACTGTGCTTTACAAAGCAATCGTAGAACTAGCGCACAGGGGTAGTGCCCATGCCCGAACATTGCCCTAGCAGCAGCATGCGCTATGCAGCAGCTACATGAAAAGATGGGGCACACCCACAACAACATTTTGCTGAAAAAAACGTACATGTAACTTTGAACATGAAATTTTTGTGAATGTGTATGAGGTATGGTAAAACAAATAAAACATGGTTTAGTTCAAGTGGACAGACTAATCCACCCTCAAACTATGTTTTAGTTGTATACTGTTTCTGTTGGCTAGTGAAAGGTCAAGGTCAAGCATTTATTCATGTATTTTGCACTTTTGCCCTTATGACCAATTTACATACATGTATGGACCAGTTACATAGACACACATACATGCAACAAGTAGTACATATATGTTTTTGATTTATGACATCATACTAACGTAATCATGATAACATCATGTATAAATGTGTTTAATAAACTATGCTCATGTGAACAGGATCCATTGTGATTGCAACTAAGGCAGGACCAAGTGGTCTCCATTCTCAGCAACCGAAGAACAATAAACCCCAACCAATTCAACTTAGTAAAGACATGTAAGTTCAAGATGAAATCAAACTTTGTTATGTATCTTGATGTATTGTGTGTATTCTTATTCAAATTGTTTCAAGATTAGGTTGAGGTGAATGCCCCATGTTTACTTCTCACTCAATTAAAGGGAATGCACATCATTGGCTTTTGCTGTAATTTTCAGAAATGAACTAGTTTGAGGGGTTAGTATAATAGATCAAATATTTTTACATTGACATGTTTGAAGTTTTGTGTTCAAAAATACTGGAAAAACCAAGAAAAACACAAATGTTCAAGTAGTCTGGTTCCCTGACTCCATTAAAGATGAAATGGATCAATTTATAGATGCAGGAAAATTGTAAATTAATGGAACCAGTCTAACTGGCCTGCACCCATTCATGAACATGTAACCAATAGCAAACAAAATTCGGACTGAAAAAAAATTGGTAAATTCGGAGCAGTAGTTGAAAAATAGTTAGGTTTTTCCAACGGTGGTCAGCCGTCCTTGTATTGTATATGTAGTGTATTGGTCAAAAAATTACCCTCTGTGATCAAGGTTTGTCTTGAAAGTTAAGATCCCTTGGTCATAAGTTCACTCAGTTACTTGATAGGTTAACTGTTTACAAACCAGCCAGTAAGTGATGATGTCCAAGTAAAAATTGGACTGATTTGACATGAAATGATACTATGAGATCTAGTTTTGACACTACATACAACTTCTGAATAAATTATAATTGTATTGTGTGTGTTTGTCATCTTGGATCAGTGTATGTAGCCCAGCAATGCCACCATTCAGCCCATCGGCTATGAGTCCCCCATCTAACAAGCGTCGCTCCCAGTCATTGAGCTCCTTGCCAAAAGATGCACATGAGAAGGAACCACGAAGTCCCAGAAAGGTTTGTTTAGAAAGCATCTTACAGTTCGTGTGGTGATTACAATTCAGCTTTGCAAAACATTACAGAAATATACACAGGTAAACTTAACAAGCAAATACAATTGTAAGAGAGCTTAAATATTCTTAAAAACACTAACATTATTCATATACATGTGTATATTAGTCATTTGTAAAGGCCTGTATCCTTTGCATGGATGGATGACTATCAGTGAAACCTTGACTGAATGTGGTCAATACCCAGACCAAATGTTGGCTGAAGAGAAAAAACTGCTAACCTTTCCTGTTTTTGTGGGAGACCAAAATTTATCCAAAGGGACATTTTTTTTTACTCACCCTGTATTGTCAGTCCCCTTTTAAGGTCATATTCTACCTGTACACATGGTACAATTACTAAAAAATAATCGATCATAAAATCTCTAGAGGGATGTATTTCGGTTCAAGTTACGCTTACTCACATTACAATTTGTCCACCTATCTTTGGTACAAGTGAAAACATAAGAAACTAAGCAACAAACAAAAACTATTTTGGCAAAATATATTAACTTTTCTCTTTGCCTTAACCAGTTCACGCCGGGTTTATTTTGGCAGTGACCAGACCCAGGATTGTTTTTCACGAGATTGATGCCAGATGGGTTCAGGCCGTCATTTGCGGGTAGCACACCCTGATATTTCCGGCCTCGCTCGCTGTGAGCGGGTCACTGGCAGATATTTTCAGCCTCGTTCATTACGTGTTTATCTGTCATCCATTCTAAATACTGCAAAACCTTTGCTAGTAAACATGTTACCTGACGAGAACTGGTTAAAATAAAAAAAACTCACGATAACATTGCATTTTGCATGTAACAACAAGGTACCAAAATCCATAATTTTAGCCAAACAAAAACAACAGATTTTGACAAAAAAAATGTACTTAACCATATTGCATATCAGGTTGTGATGTTTGTAGTTATGAAGATTACTTAAGTTCGCCACTTGTCAGCCGTGTCCACTTTTTCGTGGAATTACCTGATACGATTTCTTTCTATTTGTTTGTATTTTTTTGTTTAGATCCGAGACAAGGATCATGTACGTCGACCGATGAATGCCTTCATGATATTTAGCAAGCGCCATCGAGCTCTTGTCCATCAGCGTCATCCCAATCAAGACAACCGTACTGTCAGCAAAATCCTGGGAGAATGGTGGTATGCACTGGGACCTAAAGAGAAACAGAAGTATCATGATCTAGCTTTCCAGGTTGGTACAACATCACTTTCAGCGTTTAGTTTTCTTCTGATTGATACCTTTTCAAGTGCAATAAATGCACAAGGTATTTGATAGCATTCCTATCTTCACTTTGAGCAAGGTTTCTAGGTCACCTTGCTTTAAGACATGTCCTTTCTCAATGCTAGGTCAAGGAGGCTCATTTCAAGGCTCATCCTGACTGGAAATGGTGCAACAAAGAGAGAAAGAAGTCAGCGAGTGTGGTGCCTCCTGAGTTGTCTGATAAGACTGAATCAAGGCAACGCCATGCATCAGAAGGAGAAGCTAGCTGCAGTCATACGGGTCAGTGTCTATATTATTACACCTTATCATTATCATACATATTCATGAGCCAGTCACACTTCTTTCACTGGTTGATGTCACCAGCATTAGGAAAGATTAAGATTAAGTTAAGAAGCTATCACACATGCATAAGTTGGCAGGCCAGTAAATAGGTCGAACATTGCCTACGCTGGCCAAATCACGATTTGAATGCCCTCAAATTTTCTGCTATTACAGCATTTTGTTGGCCATGAACCTTAGTGTTTGTTAAAATAAAAGAAGGATGGAAGCCAGTAACAGGACTGTGAGCTTGTATTTCTGTGAAATTTGCATGAAATTGGGCCCTTCAATTGCTCTATTTTGCAATGAAGCACAGGCATCAATTTTCAGAGTGGCGATGGGCTTCTGGACTACTTGTAGGGGTGATCATCTTTGGATGGAAATTCCTCCCAAAAGTAATCGGATTACCTCCAAAATTTGAACAGACAATGAAAAATGATAAAATAAACTTTAATTGATGTGTGTCTCCACCACCTTGGAGAGTTTTTAGTATTTTTCTGGATTTCTGGAAGTGGGTGATTTATCACAGGAGATCTATGGCCGTTTAATTACCGGTCTGCAACCATGACACAGTTGCCATCACCCAATCCGTTGAAAAAAACCCCAAAAGAAACCCTTGCTGAATTCCTGTCACTCAACTCAAATCCAACTCCAAAAATGTCAGCCCTCAACATAACAACAAATGGGGTGCAAAAACTGCTGGAGGAAATCCAGTCAAAGAAAGCATCCGGGCCTGACCAGGTACCAGCCAGAATTCTGAAGAGCTGCTCAGCAAGTATAGCTCAAGTCTTCCAAAAGATTTTTTCAAAAGTCTGTAGACAGTTGATAACTCCCAGGAGACTGGTTGAATGCCAACATCGTCCCCATTTACAAGAAGGGAGATCGGACAAACCCGGTTAATTATCACCCAATTTCCCTAACTTTGATACAATGCAAGCTTTTTGAACATACATTAAACTCCGGCTAAACCGACATCGTACAACTCGTCAAATCGCTCAAGTTGGCCGTCTGACTAAAGTTCCAATTGTTCGTAATGCATTTCCATTGAATTTTTATGCCCCGCGGCGAAGCCGAAGGGGCATACTGTTTCCGCCTTGTCCTTCCGTGGGTGGGTGTGTGGGTGGGTGTGTGGGTGCGTGTGTGGGTGGGTGAGCTTGTCTTACATACGCAGTGTGGACTTCCGAACAAAAGACGTCCACATAATGTAGGTAGCACCGACGTTGTGTGGACTTACCCCACGTCCACACAGTGTTTCCCCATTTCTGGAAAACAGGTTTAGAGGCATTTTTGGGTTAGGTTTATCTGTAGCAGAATGAAGAGAAACACTAAAGGGAATCATAGAAAAAAAATTGGGTTGAAAGAGTTTTCACAGTTTGAGAAAAATGAGTTTTTTCACTGGTTTTTCTTAACTACACGAAAGCAATGGAAAGTCCACACTAGTCATGTGAAACAAGTATGGGTGTGTGGGTGGGTGTGTGGGTGGGTGGGTGTGTGTGTGTGTCCGGATAAATCTTGTCAGCGCGATAACTTGAGAAATACTTAACATATGAACTTCAAATTTGGTTTGTGGATTGTTCTTGGTAATCCTAAGAAGCCTTTTGCATTTGGGGCCAAAAGGCCAAAGGTCAAGTTCACAGTGGCTAAAACAATAGAAATCTTGTCAGCGCGATAACTTGAGAAATACTTAACATATGAACTTCCAATTTGGTTTGTGGATTGTTCTTGGTAATCCTAAGAAGCCTTTTGCATTTGGGGCCAAAAGGCCAAAGGTCAAGTTCACAGTGGCTAAAACAATAGAAATCTTGTCTGCGCGATAACTTGAGAAATACTTAACATATGAACTTCCAATTTGGTTTGTGGATTGTTCTTGGTAATCCTAAGAAGCCTTTTGCATTTGGGGCCAAAAGGCCATAGGTCAAGTTCACAGTGGCTAAAACAATAGAAATCTTGTCAGCGCGATAACTTGAGAAATACTTTACATGTGAACTTCAAATTTGGTTTGTGGATTGTTTTTGGCAATCCTAAGAAGCCTATTGCATTTGGGGCCAAAAGGCCAAAGGTCAAGTTCACAGTGGCTAAAACAATAGAAATCTTGTCAGCGCGATAACTTGAGAAATACTTTGCATGTGAACTTCAAATTTGGTTTGTGGATTGTTTTTGGCAATCCTAAGAAGCCTATTGCATTTGGGGCCAAAAGGTCAAGGGTCAAGTTCACAGTGGCTAAAACAATAGAAATCTTGTATTTATTCTGAGATTATTGGGATTAGGGATTAATTCATATAAAATCTACAGAAGACACTAATGCTGTCAATGAATGTTCCATGTGACCAAGGTACATGTAAGTTGATGTTAAAAGAGTGGTGTTATGTCATGGGAACAGTCACGGTTGCGGGGCATTTGTGTTTGTAAACACACCTGACTTGTTATTTCTGAGTCAGCTTTTATTAGTTGCTATTTCGTTCAAGTCCTCGTGTTACTCTCGGTCCCCTTTCCATAAAAAGCATTACAAAATCCTTTGTGTTAGTTGGCATTCAACAAATCACACATTGGCATCAACTTCCTGTACTGCGGTTGGCAAAGTGTCGAGTGAAAAGTGGTTTCGCACGGCCCGTGATTGGTGTCGAAAAAGGGTGCCCTACTGCATTCATCGCATAGGCATTGTGAGCATATCAATACCAGTACCCCCTCTAGGCTGTACGTATGCGCTCTGTCCATTTTGGGGGTCGTCTTATTACTGCTGCAGTCAATGCGTGCGTGGTATTTCCGGACCACGCACGCATTTAATTTGTTACTGTGCACATACATGTACACACATGTATGTATCGTGGTCTCCAATATCAATACCCCAAACATGATGACACAATTCAAGGATTAATTTGCTGGATTCAACTCAAGCATTAAGGTGATAAACCAGGGTAAATCGAAGCCAATCAGTGCAAGGAATCATGTGTGCAAAAGACCATTCATGTAAGTCGGCAAAATGATGTCTTACAGCAGATATCGGCATTTGCGTAAGTCATCACAAATTCTCAGGGCCCGAGAGTGCCGGTTTAGCCGGAGTTTACTGTATAATTCACCGGCATATCATGGACCATCTTGATTTCCACAAAGTAATCTCAAACAACCAGCATGGATTTCGTCAGGGTTGATCATGCGACACCCAACTTGCTGGGTTTATTGATGGTCTTACCAGGGCACTTGATAATAAAAGCCAGACGGACATGATACCACTAGACGTTAGCAAGGCGTTTGATACCATCCCCCATAAACGTCTCCTGTACAAGCTCAGCCGTGTAGGAATCAACAACAGCCTTCTGAAGTGGATTGAGATCTTTTTAACAACAAAACTTCAGTGTTCAGGTGTACCTCAAGGGACTGTGTTGGGCCCCTTACTCTTTTTACTGTATATAAACGACATGCCAATTGTAGTTCATCTGTGGTTTGTTTCGAGAAAAAAGTCTGACATTGCTTTTGATTTTGACTGCTTCAGATAGGAAATCAGTCAACAAATAGGATCAGTAATGTCACACACATTTCCCGTTTTGGTTTTTGTATTCTACGTAGGGAGCTAACTATTCAGGTATCTTGACTTTTCTCACTATGGTTAGTTTCTGACTGTAAACACTTACATGTAGATATAACTCTGTACATGAAACTTTAACTTATGGTCTGAATTCTTTGATCAACTCTGTATCTAATGACTCTGTGTAGTCATGGAGCATATTCACAGTATGGACAAAAAAGTATGGAATAGTGTTGCAAACACTATTTTCTGTATTCTGTAAACACTATTTTCTGTATTTCACAGATTTTGAGACGGCCCAGTTGACAGGAATGCCAGTATTTGCTTCAGTGAATGTAGAAGGAGAAGAAAGTACAAACCTTGAGAAGCTTCCCGAAGGACATCAAGAGTCAACTAAACCATCTCAGGTAAGATCAGCGTTGTGAGGCAGGATATCATTGCTCAGTCTACTGCTTTTATATAAAAAAAAAATAGGGAATCAACAGGGGGATATTTTTTTGTATTTCAGTATATTAAATTCAATTCAGTTCTGGTTCAGTTTTATAGCTCACATTATTTAAGTTGAAGACTTGAACAATTGTTTACATTTAAACTGAGCAATGAATATAACACAGTAAAGTTTGATGCACTCCTTTATGTGGTCATCCACAAAGAGTGATTATGAATACCTAACTACAGGTACCTACTCAAACACTTGTAAAGGCAAGGTAACAGGGACAGAACAAGTTACTCTGTGGATCCAACATGTATAGAATGACTCAGATGGAAGGTTACTGGGAGAGGGAGTGGTCAGACATCTTGCAAATCAACTGACAATCCATGCCATTAAAGGAGAGCTGCAAGCTGATGAAGGAAGTCAATGTGATAGTGTTGAAGATGCCATTATATAACTGATATACAGATCCTTGTCATGTGATTGGCGGAACTCAAATTACGTGACATCCGTTATTGCTCCCATTCACGCCGGGGCTCAAAAAGTCCCATGCGCCCATGGGGAATGGGAAATACTATTCAACAGTTAGGATCATCCTTGTTCCATGACGCGGTATTTGTGTGCAAATGCATGCTGGTGTGCGCGTTCAGCGTTGCGCGGAACAGGTATTGTTCCAAAGAACCAGCGCTACAGAGTTGGGTAGAAACATTTTCGTGAAGAGGTGGTTTGGATGAAATTCAAGTTGTGACAGGTTACAATTACTAGGAGCTCCTTTACCATCTCGTGAATCTAATAACTTTTCATTTGTTCAAGTTATGTGAATCATACATATATGCAGATATGAACTAGTCACCACGAACCACACTTGAGACTTGTGTGGTTTACGTGAGCTACATAAAGTTTTACCTTAATTTGACCTTAATTTTACCTTAATTTGAAATGTCAGTTAACTTGAACAAATAAAACTGTTGAACGTAGTGAATCACATATCTACAGTTTTAGGCAAGAAGGTTAAAAATAGGAATCAAGGGAAAAGCATTCATAAATACCTGAGACAGTTAACCCATTTCCATTGGTCGAGAGCCCGTCACATGGCAGGTCTTAAATGGTTGATAGAATACCGGTCTTAAACTGGCTGGTCTTAAACACTTTTCTGGTGTCACATGAAATTTTGACTCCTATGAAGTCTGGTCCCTTTTTATAGCCTTTTATTGGTTGAACATTTACAATCTTCACTTAGGCATGGGCAATACAACCAATGAGTCCGTATTTTGAGAGTCCTAAATTTACACTACAGCGGCATGGCCGCATTTGTGCCACATAGCGTAGTACGTGCCACTCTGGCGCCAATTTCCATATAAGGAGTTGTTTATGACTATTCGCGAGAGGCACATACCTCAAACCTACATGTAGCTAGGGGGGCGACACGAAGTGAAACTGTTAAACAAGATAGTTGGAAAATTTAAATTTTTGGCTTGCTTCGACTTTTTGACCGAAAAGGTATTTGTGATGGGAATAAACATATGTTTGGCCAGTATTAAACAAGTCCATTAACACCGGTTGGGAGCCTGGTTGCCAATAATATCCCTTGCCTTCGGATCAGACTGTTATCTGTCACCATCTTGCTTTGCTGATTTTCTTTGTGAGCGCATGTGACGTCACATCGCCTAAAAAGATACATGAAATTGTATGTATTTATTTATTGGTCAGTATTTACAACATTTAATGCATTATGCATGACAATTTCTCTACCAAATCGTATTACACAAGTATTCTCCATGAGATGGTGAAGGTGCTTGTGGCTTTGCCACTTGTACTGCCTTGTTCATGCCAGCATTCGGGGCGCCACACATCCAGGTAGCCACGACACCTTGACTAAAGCTATGTTTTACATGACAAGAACAAATGAATTAAAATCATTTACATTTGGACAGGGTTAGTCAAGAAAGGCTATTTGCTGGAATGAACTTGGTTTGAGTGATATGCTTACTTCTGTCAACAACGTTATTGTTCTTTACCAATCCTCTTTGTTTACTGACACTGTAATATTGGCTTTGTTTTCTAGATTCCTTTTCTCTGCATGCCTCCTAAGAAGAGATCCCTGAGTGCATCCAATGTTCCACTCATTGGTCAGGAACAAAAGGAGACACATGTGGCAACTGAACATCAACCTGTAAGATTTACAAAGGGTTTCATGGAACAATTTTGCATGTAAACAATCGTTGTCAAATTGTACGATCTTGTGTTATCTTCTCCCTGAAACTCACTCTTCTGATATGATAATGGCCCACAAAATTTAAAATCATATGACAGAGAAGTTTGCCTTTATCAGGTAGTTACATTGCTGGCAGTTTGGTGATTCCATTGCATGAACATTGAAGAGAGAAACATTAGCGGATGTGAAGTAGTATGTTTTTGTGTAAGACATAATTGAAAGAAATCTATTGAAACATTTACATTTGTCTTGCCTTCAATGGCCTTAATTTTATAAGTTCAATGCTTAAGAGAAATACGTTGACAAGCTTACACAGGTGAGATTGGAAGTATTAAGCTCCTGTCCTGCTTACTAGGTAACCTGCTATTCTGCAGAGTGCCATGCTTCATTGTCTGTTCAACATACAGTGAGTGCTGCCATCAAAAATGACATTGAAAAAAATCACTCAACTGACTTGACATCGTTTAGATATTATACTGGTGAAAAGAAAAGCCCAATATTGAAAGTAGGGAATGTGAAACAAGATTTGTGAAGTTCATGTTACTATGGACTCCATGTGCAAATGGCCCATCAATGACAGACAGAAACAATGAAAGAGTGTCCATATCTAATGACACTTGGGCACTATTGCTACTGTGGGCTGACATTCAGGTTCATTCAGGTCAAGGGTTTGTGCTTTTATTACAGTAAAAAAATGCATGTACTCAATGCAATTTAGAGTGAACCCCAGTACAAACATTTGATATGGGCTTCCTTGACCATCAGTTTCGTAAATGTTTACATCATACATGTGCACGCTCCACTGATTACTAGCGCCCTTTAGCTAAACACGCAACTTTCCAGACTCAGTGGTTCTAATGCTACTTGATGTGCAGTGGGCGTGGTTTAAACTGAAGTGACGTCACACTTACCACGACGTGCTTGTCTGACAATTAGGGACTCTCAATAGTTGAGTCCCAAATTAAGAAATTGGAAACAAAAATGTTGTATCACTTTCTTCCTATGGCGTGATTAAAGTACGAGTATAAATCCTGAAGTCATACATCCATACAATAAGTCAAAAGAAATATGTACTATAGCGAACATCCCAGTTGAGCCTGTTTGATACGATATGATTAGTGATGTTATGTGCCATGGCACATGAACTACACAGCTTCTTGTGTAATTACAAATTGATAGTCATTTGATGATTGCTTTGTATTGACAGAAAAGAAGTAAATTGCCAGTGACCAGCTTGTCAGGATTGAAGCAGCAGTTTCCTGAAAAATCCTTGACGCTACTTGGTCAGTCATCAACACGTCCAAGGTTGGAATCAGAAGAGACCCTTAGTGATGAAGAACAAATGGTGATTGATGAAGAGGGAGATGATGATGTCATTGGTATGTCAAGTCTGGTTATTCTCATCATTCTTAAATTATGAAAAGAAGTCAACACTTCACTGTTTTCAAGTGTGTCAAAAGACTTCATTTGAATTTGATTGCAATAGAAAATGCTATGTTCTCTTTGGTCTTTCCTACAGCTGACGATGAAGTGTGCAATGTCCAAGAGGCTAAGCATATTGATCTAGAATGCAAGGAGCGAGTGGCAGACAGTGATTCTGAAACTGAATCTGAAGATGAAACCATGATAGAGAATAAAGCCTTCCCTCAGCAACGCTTTTCTCCTGTAATGAAACGCCTGTCTTCATCCGATATAACCTACCGACCAAAGCCAATCAAAGCCAAGCCTGATTCCCATTCACCAATCAGGAGTGATCTTGGATGTGACCAGCCTGATGGTGGTTCTACCCACGATGCTTCTCATTCACTTGCTCGTCCTGCGTCTGTTGGTAATAGCTTTCAACCAACAGGGGCTGTCTTTAAGGCTCACTCTCCACGAAGTCGCATAGACCCCCTGTCAGATTGTAAAGCTAAAGCTTTCTATGAGTATCAACCAGCAAATAAAGAAACTCAAGATAACACAAACAAACGTGGACACTTTTCACAAATTGAGTTTGGACCAGCTTCCTCAAATTCAGGTCAAGGGTCTGTTCGTCGTGATGAGCAGAGTTTTTCTAAGACAGGAGATGATCGGTCATCAGAGACAACGCACTCAGCTTCTGGGATCAACTCTGGAATGCCACTCCAACAGGCTCACTTTTCTTCAACTGCTTCAACAGATCACAAAAACCTACTTCCAAGAATGTCTATAGAAAGCACTGTGAGGAGCTTGTCACATGCTACAGGCCGGGAGATGGACAACCAGATAACAGCTAGCCCAGTCATTGGAAGCTTGTCCAAAAGTCATTCAGTCATAGTCAGTAAGTCTAGACCTACTGCCGTGCAAGTCACCCAGTCGCACCAAGGCTCGGTCATTGTCAGTCCACAGTACATACAAGAAATGAGTGCGATACCTATCAACAGTCTGAAACCAGAGTCAGAGAAATCACCAGAGATGACAACTACCCAGCCATTACCTCAGTCAGGAAGTGTCATGAACAGGGCTGGATGTAACCCAATGTCAGTCTTATCTACTGGTGGGGGACAGATGAATGCTGCTAAGTTGCTGCAAACAATCTCACAAGTCAAAAAAGGCAATGGTGTTCTTGTTGCTGCCTGTCAACCGCAATCCCAGAGCCCAGCAGCTGTACTAGCCAATTTAAATATGAAGCCCTTGAACTCACTGATCTGCCAATCTTTTTCAACATCTCAGTCATTTGCATCTAACCAGACGGTCACTACTCCTGTTCCAATTACTGCAGGGACGTTAACAGCCAATGCAGGGGTAGCTCATCTGCAGTACATACTGCCTTCTATTCCAACACAAGTCCCTTCAGGAGCGGCTAAGGTAGTGCAGTCAGGATTCCAGTTAGCAAGTCCTATTCAGCTTGCTCCACCAATCAGCAGTCAGCTTACCATCAAAGCCACTCCCACAAATCAGCTAGCAGTGGTAGCCAATCCTAAGCCCAGCGCAACCCCTCAGTCACCCAGTCCAATGGTTGGACCTGCTAATGTCTTAACTGCACAGATGTTGACGGCTAACGGAGCTCAGATGATTCCATTGGTGGCAACTCAAGCATCCCTAACACCGCAACTTGTTGCCATATCACAATCCAATTCATCAAGTCCAATGAATCAGACACAACACATGATGCTTCAGTCTGTACCTGTCAATGCCCTTCCCAACTCCCCTCTAGCTAGCCATGTCAACCAAGCACAGTGTGTGTCAGTCAGGTCATTCAATATCAACCCAACAGCAGTAGTTTCTCAGCCGGTAACCATAATGACACAGCCATATAGTCCAGTAGTGACTGTTGCAGCCGGTATCCCTGTGGCTTCTGTGACTGGTACCCCATCTCCTCTGATGCAGAGAGGCCAGGCTCACACCAAATTCTTGCTGCCTTCAAATCAGCGGTATGTGCAAGTCATAACAAATCACAAGTTGCACTTAGAGTTTGATATGTGCTTTAGTGTTCCTCATGTTACTTCTAAGAGCTGAACATGTACCTAGATGGGTGGCTATTTCAAATTGAATTAAATGTACTGAACCTTTATTAAGGGAATAAATGTGTGTTTCGGAGGTATTATAACACTCTGTTTAAGACCGGTTGGAGCCTAGATGGGTGTTAATTACCCGAGGCAAAGCCAAGGTTAATGATCAGCACTCCAGACTCAAACTGGTCTCAAACAGAGTGTTTAATACCAACCAAACACATATTTATTCCCAGTCATAAATACCTTTCGGTCAAAAAAAAAATCTTTTCAGTCCAAAATAAAATCAAAACAAGTCAAAAACCAGATGTTACCAACCATTTTGTTCAACAAGTTTACTTTGTGTTTTATGAAACACCCCTCTGACTATAATATGGAATGTCCCTCTACAACTCCTTACCTTATAAGGAGATTGGCATGCGCGTCGCACATACCAGCTGGGCTGGTGTAGTGTGAATTTCGGACCATGAAATCACTAATTCACTGGTAGTATTGCGCATGCATACGTGAGGAATGTTAATGTTCAACCAATGGAATGTTAAAAGGCACCAGATTTCATGGGAGTCCAAATTTCATGTGACACTGGAAAAATGTTTAAGACCAGTCAGCCATGTCTTTATCATCCATTTAAGACTGGTCACGTGACGGGCTCTCGACCAATAGAAATGGGTAAACTGTATTAGGTATTTATGAATCAGTGTTGTTGCTTGTATAGTGCAAAGGTCATTACATTAAGTTCATGCACCATTACAAACCAAGTAAAGCTTTCTGTTGTGTGCCTGTAAAATGAAAGTTAACAAACCTATCTTCTCATGATAAATCAATTGGATATTAGAATGTTTTGCAAAGTTTGTTGAAATGGATAACATGGGCATTGTATTGTTATTGTGTGTACATGTAGGTTGACTATCCTGCAGCAGCCTACCAACAACACGTCACCAGTAACCCCAGCATCACCCAGTCCATATGTGGTCTCAACTAACCAAGTAGCCACAATAAAAGGTAATGACATCACAGATGTCTTCAATGGCCTCCTCTGTTAATAAATACATGTACATGGATATGATGTGTAGCACTTTGTCTCTTGAGCTTTTATAACAATTGATGTTGGTACATAATGCATTTCAAGAAACCAGTAAAGCTGAAACATTGGAGATGATTGATGTATATTACCTTTGGTAACATACACCATTGTAACATATATGTATATTGAAATTATTTGCAAATTGTTTTGTTTTCCGTTTGCAACCCATTTTCATGCGGGAAATTTGTGTACTAATTGTTGTGCCTTATTAGCTTCTTTTTTTTCATCAGAGATACTAAAAACATTTGTTTTGCCATGCTAAGGAGCCTTTCAACATTATCAATGTTTTAAATACAATGCACTTCACTCATTTTTCTTTTTTTTTAACCCAGTCATCCATCCCAATTTTTGATTTTCAAAAATTGACTTACTACATGTACTCAATACAATCCAAATACGTGTATGCCTAGTTCAGGGACAGTGAAATCGTTCCTAACTGGTTTCATATCCTAATGCAAGGCATATGTTGTTTGAACCCGATACCCCCCCCCCCCTCCTTTGGCAAGGCCCACTGCTACACATACCCTGCTTCACAAAATTTTGTGAAAGAAGCACAGGCATTGCCAAGCATTGTGGGTAGCTTGCTGGCTGCCTTAAGCCCGGTTCATACTCGGTGCGAAAGCGAAAGTGAATTTGTGACGTCATGGGAAGTATTTGCGCTGCGAATTCGTAAAAGTTGAACATATTTCAACTTGGATGAATTTCGCAGGGAATGTTTCATGACATCCAAATCGCTTCGCATTCGCATTTGCATGAAGTATGAACCGGGTTGTAATCAATGGACTTAACATTCAGCGTGCACATATCACACGCACACTGAAGTGTTGACCTGTGGTATTTTTCAAACATATTTTATCCAATGAGGGCTCGTAGAAATTACATCATGCATCCTAAAGATATGAGCCCTTGCCCGCACCCTGTTTTATTTTGATGGGTACGAGCAAAGATATCAAGTCTACTTAACTGGTTACCTTAATAAAATCAACCTCGTCCCCATGGTGCTCTAAGGGTCGCACATTGTACCCCATCTCTATATGGGGACGGGGTTGAAAATAGAAAAAGAATCAGAACGCGTGTGCACGGAACCAACAAGTGGAAAGAGGGTGTGGGTTTTTGGGGGGTGGGGGTGTTGGTTTGTTGTTTTTTTAATTGAAAAGTGAATGTCATTTTTTTTAAAAAATTTCCTTGACCCATCAACATATTTGAAGGAAAAAATCAAACATTAAATACATTGGTGATGTTGATGGCCCCTAAGTGTTAAACATTTGATCAAATAGTCAGTTTATTTGTGACGTGGCGTTTAGCCCATTCTGGATGCCATGCTACTGCTGAGTGTGGCAACAGCTCGCCTACAGCACTGCAGTTAGTTTAAATGCCAAACATTATAGACCTTTCTCAGGGTACGCCGTCTTGAAAATTAAGTGACGCAAACAAACATGGTGGCCTAAACAGTGTGCCAGGGTGATCAAGTGACTCTCGCAAAGTTACAGCAGATTGACTCAAAGTCCCCTGAAACATCAGTCTATAGACTAGGTCATGTTTCATTGCATTTTGTAGCCTAAAACCACTAGACTAGCCTGTGCTTACATACAAGTACACATTCTTTTATATTTCACTTCATGCATTGCATTCTGATCATTCTTGGTCTGTAGGTGCAAGTAGAGTCATGACTCAACCAGTCATTGCACAGGCTCATCATGTGGCTACTAGTACCCTGTCTCCCCTACCTTGCCAAGCTGGCAGTCGTTCAGTAGTCACCAGCCTGACATCTGGCCATCCTGCTATGATGACGCTACCTGCAATGACGTATACTCCTATCATGCCAGCTCAGCCTGTGCCATCTATTCCTGCAGCTCAGCCTAGTTCTGTAGCTTCCATACCAGTTGGTCCTATGCAAGCACCGATAACTGGCAGTAGTGTTATTGTCAGTCTTACACCCGTTCCTTCAGTTGGCAATGCAAACCTAACTCAGGTTGCACAGACAAGGACTGTATTTTCAACAGGTCAGTGGCAGTATTATTACTAAACGGTTGAATATTTGGAAGGAAATAAACATGTGGAATATTGTGGGAATTTTGGTTTTCACCCCTCAGCCGAGAGGCTGCAGGGGTGTTGTCATCGTCTATTGTCATTGATATTGTCGGGTGTTTGTCCGGGCATCCACCTGGGCTTCCACCTGTCCATCCAGGCAGCTCAGTGTTTGAATGATAACTTGAGTTTGGGATTGTAACTTCAGAAGGGGGTAGCCATTGGGAGTAGGCAAGTTGGGATTGGTTTGGGGTCAAAAGGTCAAAGTTCAAGGTCAGCTTGGTGAGTTAAAGGTAAACAGTTTCCGGATAATAATTTGAGTTTAGAAATGAGATTTTGGGTTTCTAATTTAAGAAGGGGGTTGCCATTGGGTAAAGGCAAGTTGGGATAAAATTAAAAAGTTAAACCAAAGTTTAAACTACCAAATTATTATCAAAAACCCGACTTGGATTAAAGATTGTACTGGTACAAAACATCCGTGAAATGGTTCCATCTGGCTCACCTATCATTTAGAAGAAATCACGATATGTTTGTCATTTCCAAAAATCAGGCAATTGACTGATTTTTTGGGGGAATAAAAAGCGCTGTGGATTGTGTTTCGTGATCAAAAGGTTTTGCACGTTGTTTCACTGAACTGAAATGAAAGTTCAGTAGGTTACGTTTTGAACATTCTTCTTTGAATTTTAAGTGGTGTTATTGGAAACAAAACAAAATATAGAAAAAGCAAACGATCGTTATGCCTTTAATTATGGCTGTGATAGGTACAACATGTAGGGTGGGCTGAGTGGAGTGGCCAATTGCCTAGAATTGCTCTTTCTTTTTTATGAAATGGTGAATGAAACATTGGTTGCTATATGTCATTTTTCCAAATCTTTGCAAACTTTTAGGTCCACTCTTCCTACTATTGTGGTATAAATTTATTAGTTTACTTGTTTATTATTATGCACAGGTACAGCAGCCAGTCTGCCGATAGTATCAGTTACTTGCCCAACCCAAGCCAAACCCAGGATGGAAGTATCACAAATGGCTCCTAGCCCAATGGCTGCTCTACCCTCAACCCCTGCCAAACGTGTCAAAGCCACAATTGCCACTATTCCTGTAGCCACCTCCAGTATTGTTGCTACTGCAGTCAGGATGGGCACTAAGTTGCCTATTGGCAAACATGGCAAGGACACTAGAGGCTTAACAACAACATCTCAGAGTTATCGTATGATGCCTAAGCTAGCTCCAATTCAGTCATGTACTGCTGATGAATCCACATGGCAGGCTCCTTCAACAAGCCTCCCTAGCATGCCCAAGACTGTGAAGAACTTAGCTGACACAGGGTCAAGGCTACCATTGAAACGCACTGATGTGACTGAGCTAGGGGATGCATCTGCTGACTTGCCATTAAGCACAGCAGCTACAGTCAGTCAGGAAGTCAAATCAAGCAGAGAAGATGAACCAGATGGAGGAGTGCATAGACAAGCAACCACAGACACTCTTACTAGAAAGACAGTAAACACTGTCGCAGACACCAAGATAACAAGTCCAAGTGAAAACAAGCATGAGAGTCCTTCTACTTCGCAGACACATCACCAATCTGTACATGCAAATACTGTAATCAATCGTACCATCAAGGATGAACTACCAAAAGTTGAAGCTTGTACTTCATCAGTAACTGATGCTGAACTGTCAATCCTTGCTGAAGAACACTCAACAGAAACGACAGACTTGTCCATATCAGAGGCAGACATTAAACCACAGAGAGCATGCAAAGGCAAGAAATATAAGAAGATAATCCAAGAATGTGGGGTGAAAACACACAAAAAGAAGGTGAGCTAATTATAATAAGATATAGTACAAATTCAATCAAACTCTAAGCTTACAGTTTGTACAGTTGCTTCCGTGGTATAGAGGTCAAATGTCACAAAGATGTATCGACGACTCAACGTGTATATTCTAAATCATTCATTCACAATAAGATTGCCTCACCAAACCTAATTGAGATAAAAGCATGGTCGAACAGTTACTGAAGTAATGTTTCAAACCAATACAGGCATGTGGCCACCAATAATGGCCTTCACCTTTAGCCAAGGCCATTATTGGCAGCCAGGCTTTAAACTTTATATTGATAATCTTGAGATTTGTGTTACGTTTGTTGTCATCTATGTTCAAGTCTTTATTCTGTCATTTTCAGTTCACACGGGGCATGATATCTGACTTTTGTTCAGTTACAAAGTCCCAGGTTTCAACACATTGGCACCATTTTGATGTACTTAAATTGATGTCTGTAGATGCCTAAGGCTGGAAGTACATCTACTTGCACACCAAGGCAACATGAAGAAAGATTGGTAGCTAAGGAGAATTCTGACGATGATGGTATTGTGGAGACTTCATCGGTAACCACGGGTGACGATGGGCTGAGCAAGGGCAAGGATACCAGTGAATGCAGAGAGGAAGAGAAGACGTGCATGGATTCTACATCAACCAATCTAGAGACAGTGCATACAACAGACGCACTACCAACCCAATCAATTTCATCTATGAAATCAACATCACCACTCCAAGAAACTCTTAGCAAGGGGTTACAACCATCAACCAGCACAGAATGTGAGCCAGAGAAGGAAGCAGACACCATGCAATGTGAAGCTGGAGCGCCCAGTTCACCAAGTAAAGACCCCAAGACAATACTCAAGAGAAATATTGATGATGGAATGGAGAGGTATGTCATCAGTTGCATATCAGGTGGTCATACAAGTTTTGCAGTTAACCATTGGCCAACACAAGGCCAAATACCTTAAATAGTGCTAATAAGAGAAAGTATTGAGACAGAGACACCTAGATGTACTGAATTACTTGGCAATGGTACATGTCACTGAAAGCTGCCGAGTCTACTTCCCATTCATGCATGTGTTACTGCTAGCTGTAGCCATGCAATTTAGACTCAGCTGAATAAAGGCTATCTTGTGCCTTCATGTTTTGATAGAAAACAAACTACATGTACAATATACATACATAATTGAAATTGTGACAGCATCAATGGCAGGATTGGCCTTATTCACGAGTCGGCCCTATTGAATTAAAAAGTAGGTAAAATATTAATTTTTTGAACTTGGGAAGAGAAATGAAAACCACTTACTTTATAATAATTTCCGGTCTGCTTCAATGAATAATTGATGGCGCAATCCCATTCAACAGTTAACAATTTACGAAATACATTTAGGGAACTCGACAAAAATGACCATCGTGAATGAGGCCCATGGCATCTGAGGGATGAGAACACGGTACAAAATGATAAAGGAAGAAAATGGACTTCATTATACATCCTCAGCTGTATACATGTACTCTCACTATTTGTCGAGACCAGACCCATACATTTCAACTTTTACAAATCTTTACCTTTTTTGTGCTGTGCTAATGGTTGGCAGACCTCCTAAACATCTTGTAAGTGATGCCATATAAATGAGAGGTTCTAAAGTGATTCCAAGAAGTATTTGAGCTTACTGATTCCTGAGAAATGTGTATTCCTGAGTGGTTTATCATGAGTGAAAGGCAGTCTAATCTCATATATACACATTGTAAACTGGCTGATCTTCATGGTAATGAAGGACAATGTTGCTGTAATTGTTAAGCTTCCAGTGCTTTATTTACTCAGAGTCCTAGAGGAAGTGAACTTTGAGGCGCAATTCAAGGAGTTACCTGAATATCACCCAGAGGACCATGCCCAAGATATCAGCGCTATTCCCCTCACTCCACATGCTATTGTTAGTAGCTACAGAAGGAAGAGAACTAACTCTCAGGGTAGGTAGACTAGGATGTACCTGAGCTCATGATCAGTGCACACTCAAAGTAAAGCACAGCTGAAGTCTGACATAGTGTCACAGGCAAAACAAAACTATTACATCAAGTGGGTGAACTTGGGCATGTGCTCAAATAAGCAAGTGTGGTTGTCCAGCTGATTTCTACACATCGATATTTCATGACTTTTTTACCTTCGGCATGAGCAATCCCCTGCACACAAGCTCTATTTTTGCAGTAATTAACAAATCTTTGAACTTCCCCATCACTATATTTGTTGTACTTCAAGTTTTGTGCGAGGTTTCGATATAATTTAATAGTGGATATTTATAAACAGATAAAGCGCACGTATCCACCAGGATTGGTGCTCAATGCACTACATCATTATTACCCCTGCTCATTGGGAGCATGAAACATTCCAAATACCATCTCAGCTCCCTGGGGAGTATACAGCTCGATGCTGCCTGTTAGGCGCAAGGAAGCTAATTCAATCACAATAACCATCTCTGCCCTCACAGGTACCCATTTACTCCTGGGTGGAGGGAAGCAATGAGTGACAGAAGGTACGTGTGGGCACACGCACCATGACCCTGCCAGGACTCAAACCCACAAACATCAGCTTTACCCACAGACCACGAATCAGTGCCCTTAACCACGAGGCCACAGATATACAGTGATGGCTTGTAGAAAGACAATATACATGTTGTAAATGTCATCACTGTCCTCCCCTTCCTGTAGATTTGTGTACTTGAATCTCTTGCATTTATCCAACAGTCAAAATAGGCAAATCTTGATCTGCACATGCACAGTTGGAATGTACAATCAGTATATTCTGTTTATGTCTAAAATCAGCATCCTGAGGTGAATGATTGAATTGTCTTCCATTATGATGGCATGGTGCAAGGTTATGGTTGTTACAATGTGATATTATCATGCATATGGCATATATGGTTATACATGTATATTAACCCTATTATTTCTGGGTCCTTTGATATTCTCTTTAAGATTTTGAGGGGTTTTTGTAAAAAAAAGAAAACCAAGTACATGTATATCCCAGCTAGCATTACCTTACATATCGGTAGGACTTGTTCAATAATGCCCCTTGAAGGTTTAAGTATGATGAACGTGCCATTCATTGGTTGACTGCACAGTACAGGAGTTCAGGCAGGTTCCTTGGCAATGATATTATGTCTGTTAATATAATGGACCCCTAGGTAAAGGAGAGGATTCTGGTACTGATAATGATCCCGTCTCGCCAAGACTCAAATCACCAACACGTCGACCATCCAGTGGCTCCGAACCGAACACTCCTGGCAAACGAGTGACCTTAGAAGATACAGTCTTCAAGTTTGGTGATAAGATCGTGCCTGGAGAGGAATTGCCTACTCCCAACAGGACACCAGGTAAGCAGGCTCTCTCATGTATCTGATAGGCATTGTTGTCTATTCACCATACTTTGCTAATGGCAAGGGCGTAGCCATGGTAACTCGTGTTACATTTCAAGGGGAATCTTCCGTCAACTCTGTGCTTTTTTCTATAAAATCAAATCATTCAGGTGGATTTTTTTTACAGAAGATCCCTTGAAATTACGTGACTAAACTTCAAACAAGAGGCCAGCAAAATTACTTTCTGTTGGTTGGCAGTAAGTTTTTTATTCAGGGATGTGATTTCTCAGTGTTTTTTCCCGGAAATCTTTTTTTTTGGGGGGGGGGGGCCTCAAAAGTCAACCAATATGAATCATGTGAATCCGTTGAGAAAATTGGGGGGGGGGGGGATAGGACGTACTAATTAATTATGAATGTCAGGTTCTGCGTGCTTCTTATGAAGTTATGTGATATTTTAACACACACACGAATTCAATGTCCAAGTACATTGTATGTGTCTCATTGAGAATGTGTTTGAAGTAGACCGATAGAGACTAATAATGTACATAGCTGTAGCGTGATCGTGTGTTAGGATCGCTTGGGTCCGAGGATGTGATTCTGAAAGTCACGATGTCGTACGTATGTACATAGGCATTCTCTTTGAAAAGCACATGCTGTGTTGTGCTGTGTAGTTCCAGGGCAACGTAGGCACGGTATGTGTCACCATAGTGTCACACACAGAGCTCTGTGGACCACACCATTTGCGGTAAAGGGGTGTTCTTTCTTAAGAACAATTTACCAGTATTTGCACTGTTTCAAAATTACAAATAATACTTTTATGAAGTCAGAAACAGTTCCTTGTTCGAATAGTTAAGTTCTTCAACATCACAAAACAATTTTCGTAAAGAATTTATTCCAGAAACGGTGTAAAACTCCAATAAAAGGTTGAAGCACCCCTTACGATATCAATAGATGATCCGTCCATAAAATGACAAGTGATTGAAGTCGTGATTGAAAAGCTGGATCTTTGACGTTACTACTCTTGGCTGAAAATAACAATTTGATAAGTTTGGTAGTAAAATGAGACCTGTTTGTTCTAAGAACTAAACATTCAGCAATTATTGCCACAAAGCAAGATTTTAGTGCTCCAGGCATGCACCGACAAGACAGAACGCGGGAAAATTTGATCATAGTGGCCGGGCGCCGGGCTGGGATAGGTAGCAATTCCTGATTCTAATTTCTCAACGTCGTCATCTACATGTACAATTATTGACGGTACATTTTTTTGCATATCAAAAATGAGATTCCTCCTTCAAAGTGTGTTGTGGCATGTGGAAATTGTCGACATGGAACTGCCTTCCTGCTGCTTACCATAGGCCACTTAGTCAACCAGGAAACCACACACAGAACGCCCTCAACACAGGATTTATTCACTGCTTTTCAGAAAGCTGGCGTGTTCGTATGCGTGGCTGCCCTTAAGCAGGCCCCTAACCCCACGCTGTGGCTTCGCAAGTTGTTTAACTACAGCAAATCTTCCCCCACAGGTTTGAACAAATCCTGGGGAGACCCCGATATCTATATATGTTTGTTTACTTATAATAAATTGTTTACATTGCATATCATTGATAAATTGATATTGAATGATATTGGTTGTACTGTGTGCTTCCTACTAGGTCCAGATGAATCTGAGGAATTTGATTTTGAACCAGAGAAGAACTCCTCCACTCTGAGAAAGATCTTAGACAATCGTCGCATCTTGGTCATGCAGCTTTTCAAAACAGAAGGCTACTTCCCCTCTGGTCAGTATTTGGGACTGTTTGTTTAGTGTGTACTTGAGCGATTATATTGACTGAATAACAATGGGAGTCAGTCAACACGCATGAATGATAGCCTGCAGGATGCTAAAAGACATCTTGAAGGAATTTGACAGTTGAAATATTAAATGCCATTGCAAGTCAAATAACCAGTACATGTACCGCACAATTTCAGCCACATCAGCAAACTTACGCCGTGTTGCAACAGCTTCAGGTTCTGCCTCAGGTTTTCTCTATCATCAAAGCAAGAGTTCAACCCTGTGTCTTGACATTATTGATTGTAAGCTGTTCTCCAAGGGATTCAATATGATATTTATAATAAGACATTCCAGCTCAGCATGAAAGTCAATAGACCTAAGACATAATGATGTCATGCGTTGTTTACATGTGCGCTTTTCTGTGGGGATGATTGGCTGGCGCCCCCACCGAGCTACCACTGCGTGAGGTGATTCTGTCGTAGGTGTATTGGAATGGCAACACACCGACGCTGTGCATGAATAGTTGATGGTTCTATGAGACCACTGAGGACAGCTCCATGTATCAATCACATCATGTGCACGCCCTATTAGCCATGTGTGGCACCAAATACACACAACTCATTGGATTCTGAATGTGCACAAATTCCTAGCATCTTGACATGAGTGTCAGGAATGGAGCAGCAATGGCATCAGAGTCCCGTCTTACTCTCAAGGCTTTTTAGGGGGGAGGGGGGTGTTGTGCGAGAAGGATGTGGTAGTGGAGACCATTCAGCATCACAATGTAAGTGAGGCTGTGTGAACTACTGGCAAGCATCTATTCATTGCCTTGATGTTCCTTGACTTCTGGGAGACTCAATCATGAAGGAAACAGTTTGTAATTGTCTCGTTCACCAGAATACCCATGATGTCCATTTGTTTCTGGATCAGAATTTGTCTTCTGAGTAACGATTTTTTTTCATGAAATTTGGACGAACTTATGTTATTCTTGATCCATATGACTTGACTATGGCCAGTGGTAGCATAAGCATCAGTGTGAGGTGAATTCATCTGCTTCCATAGGCATATTGCCTGATGTAACCAAGTCATTGGAATGCAATCCTGCATTTCCAAAGAGAATGATTGGAAGTCAGAGTTCAAGGTCACCATTGATAGGAACAGGAGAAAGGGCTTTCAGCTAATCAGGGGAGGCAGCTTTGCCATTATGCAAGCAAACCGCCACAACTTGTGAATGGCCACTTCTTGGGTGATCAACTTGTGAAACATATACATACCGGTACATACACATTATCTGCTGTATTGCCGTCTTCATTACATTATGACTCATGTCCAAGTTCTCGGACCTCATCAAATCACTGTTTAATGAGTCATGTTAATGACTCATTAAATAATGATTTGATTCGTCTGCTTCTGATTTGACAGGAATCGGTCGGGGGGGGGGGGGAGTTGTCAGGATTTTCTTGATTACAAGATTTTTGATAACTCCGTTTTTATTTCATGAAATGTTTTATTTTCCCCCCATTTTCACCCCTGATCAATGTTCCCTTTCCATTGCAGCTGCCGCTACTTCAGCCTTCCAGACGCAACACCAAGATATCTTCCCTACTAAGTCCATCCTACAGCTGAAAATCAGAGAGGTTCGACAGAAGATTATGCAGCACTCTAGAGATGATGAGATAGAGGAAGGTAATATATCACCTGGAGGTCCACAATCAGCCAAGTTACTTAATACTTGCACAAGCCGTGTACAATCCAACAATAAAGCATCCAGCAAGACGATCATTCCATCAGCTAAGAGCAAATTGACACTGACATCTATGGTCAGTACAGATACAACCATGACAGCCAAACTAACGCTGACTCCCCCACCACCAGCTTCCCCTCGTGATTTAGACCACTGTGTTCTAACACAGTGGTCTAATTCACCTAAAGGCACGTACACTAAGTTTCATTATACTCCTCCTGCTAAGTCCCCATTAGCCAGAAGCAATCCTAGTGTTAGTTCTCCTGGAATGCAGGCAGTGTCCAGTCATGGCAATATAGGTAGCCCACAACGAGCATACTTCATCTATCCTTCTACTCCTATGTCTCCGTTAGCTCAATCTCCAACACAGTTGACTGCTGGTAATAAAACCACAGGTACCAGTCATGTGGTTAGTCAGCTAGGTCCTGTGGAGAGTTCAATAGCCAGTAATGATGACGTGAGTGTTACCAGTTCTACTGCTGTTACTGTCTCTAGCTGTAGTAGCCCTGAAACCTCTTCATGAATATCAAGCAATGTGTGTGTTGATTGAGGATTGTGTGAATTATTAGCAATATAAGTATCAGTAGAACTGTCAAGTTAAAATTCCTGATATTTTTTGTCTGGTCTAAAGGTATGATACAGCCTTGTGTGTCATTATCATTTTTAGTTTTTATAGATTTAATGTCCGTTGTCCTCAACAAATTCATTATTTTCCTACTAAAAAACTTGACGTTTGAGTGTTTTATTTGCATGAAAAAAACTGCTTTCTTTTATTTTTGGCATTTCCCAACTCTGAAAAGGGGTTATATTGTGGATTGCATTTATCACAAACATACACAATTTGTGGTTGATGTCTTACTAAAAAGTGAATAACTTTTTTATTGCTTGAAAAAAAAATCAATAAAAATAGTCATTAAAAAAAACAACAACTAATTTTTAGGGTGCAACTCGAAAACTGGATCTTGAAAGCAAGTGATGTAAATGTACATGCTAACACTGATGAATTGATCTGTAATATAAGCAGTTTGATTAAATACCTAGCAAAGAGATACACGTGCTGATTTGGATTTCATACTGTCTCCTGCACTACATGTATGGCATGTGTACAGTCCTGTTGGTATATTGTCAAAGTGACATACAGTGTAATAAAAGGTGAGGGTCATACCACCAATGTCTAGATCAGAATTGCATGGCAGACAACACAATGTATCACCTCATATCATTGATGTGCAAACTGTCTATGTGAGAGCCTCTGGGTTGTAACAGGTCAAAGACATGCATACTGCAGCAAATGACACATGTATTGATGTCATATTTTGAGTGCACCAAATGTGTACATGTCTATGATCACTCACTGCGCTGCCACTGAATATTCTGTCTGTATGACTCTCCTGTTATAATCATTGCTGCGAATAACCACACTGTGAAAAGATGGCATTGAATGGAACTACATGTAGCAGACAATCAGGATATAAGATGACTAGCCCTGTAGTGAATATTTGGGCATACGCTGGCAAATATGCACTGTTTGAGACTTGTCTTGAAGCCTCCCTTGTGGTACCTTTGCTTTGTGTACATTTTCACAGGGTTATCATGCTACCTTGGTCACATGACCACTGTACTGCTATGTGGATTATTGAAGGGATTATCCACATGTATGTATCATAGAAACATAGCTTCATTTTTTTTCACGTTTTCCCTAAAATACAAATACATGTACGATCAAAGTGTGAGAATATTATTTACATGTAATAGAACAAATAATACAATCTTACATTTCTATAAACGCAGTTTTGATAGATAAGTGCTTTTTGAAATGAGGTTTTGTTTTTCATGCATCAATGAAGAGTAAAACTGTTATCTGAGTTATCTGTTGCTTTTCACATAATAGAATCCTGGTAATAACTTGTTAATTCCAATGCTTTGCTGTCAATGTATATTTGATATAGCCACTGCTTGTTGCTCAGCATATTCTTGACTTCACTAATATCAAGATCAATAGATGCGCGTTTGTGTTGTACCACTACAACTAGATGTTCCAAGCGGCCCCTAAACTTGTAAAAGTTGTATACAATTTATACAGGTGTTTTTATCATAAAACATTAGGAAACGTTGGGTACTTGGGGCAGCACTAGGCCATTTCCGTTACCTAGATATTAAACTAAGAATACAAATTAAAAGTGCCACATTAACAGTAACTTATTCCTTACTGTGTATGAAACATGTTGACTTGTTTGACAATGGTATGTGATTGACATGACTGACGTTAGAATGTCATCTCACAATGCTGTGTGTCAGGCACTTTGTCAATGACTATTAATGATGAACATTGCACATGTGACCCACCGCCCTGAAGGTTGGCACACGTAGGTAACTTTCACTCTTTTCAGATTTTTGTAATAATATTTGAAACTGAGTTGTGATTGCTGCATGATGTTAAAGTTGAGGACAATCACAGAAGTGATATATGTGAAAATCTCATGTTATTCAGTATTGGCAAAAAAATGCTTATAGGTTGAACATATTTACAGTTATACTGCTAAAATCGTAATAGCTAAATGTTTCTTTTTATGGTTACTGTGAACTATTGTGATCTGTCCAGATCAACTCTTATAATTGTTTGTTTTCTAGATACTACACTATTGCAAGTTATTGAAATTTACCAATTTATATTTTAAAAAGCTCTATTTATCATAATATATAGCAGTGCTATAAAACACACTGAACAACTCTATGTAGCATTCTGTTCATTGTGGGAGACAAGGAATTGATCTATTTCCATTGTTTATCATATAAAGGACATGTTCAAAAAGCAGCCTGTACGTACATGCGCGAGTTAGGCAGTTATTTAGCCAAGTCAAAGCACTTGACATGTCAGTAAATTATAGTCAAAGCCTCCACCTTGGATCAGATTTCGTAAGGGTTTTATGGCTTTTGGGAGCTGTTACACTGTGATTTCCAATATTTACATGACAAAAGACTTAACATACTATTATGCTGTTTTTACTTAAAAGAGACTTGCACAATAGAGCCAGTTTGATCCAGGGTGATTAGTTGAGAAGAGGTTGATCCAAGATGGTTATTAAACCTGTTTGCCAACATGAAATACATGTAAGTCGTCGTGTGCCCAGCAGAAGGGCATATGTGCATATGCCCTTCTGCCGGGCACCCGATGAAGTGTACAAGTTTCTAGTTCCAGGATGGTCAAACATGAACATGAATCAAGTCAGTCCTGGTTCCTTGTTGCACATGTTCATGTCTGTGACTAGACTACTTCAGCTATAGTTGACTAGTGCAGCATGTGTTTGAGTGTAGTTCCTCGACTATGGTCAACCATAGCTGACCATAGTCCCAGGTAAGCCTTTCTTTAATGAACTTTTCACGTACTTCATGTGGAATGTGGAATGTACATGCATTATACAAATACAGTAGCTTGAAGACCTGTATAACTAATCAGATACTTGTGTTTATTTATTTGGCCTAGTTACATGTAATTAAAGCACTTACATTATACAGCATTGATTAATCTATTGATGGTGTTACCTAATTACATTACAATTTGCTTCTAGATCTTAGACTTGTTCAACAAGAGTAGTGTATACAACTTGAAAGGACATGCCAATGTAATGTACATGTATATGTAAATCCCAAGACAGCAACAAATCATTATGCGATGCCGCTTGGGGAAAACCTTGACACGCTGAAGGTTTTTGATATACCAAAAAAAATGTTTCTAATGATTGTTTTCTACAAATTTAACATTCACCATGTGAAGAGTTTTACAGATGACATCTCGTATCCTGATAAGCAACAGTTTCCATGTCACTTGCAAATGGTCTTGTATTATGGTGCTGCTATCGTTAATATCAACATTACATTGTCTTGCTTAATACAATAACTGAAGCCATACTTCTTCCATGTCAGGTATGTTTCACCTCTTTGAAACATTATTCTTAAAAGGATACAGCTGTGTCCAGCAGTATGCCATACAAACGTGTTTGATTATATATTACCTGTGTTCACCTGTTACATGTACAATGTATACACATTTTGAATGTTTCTCTAGGCAAACAACACACATGTGCATGTACATGTACATTTGCTATGTGCATTTGGCTTTACTTACATGTATGAAACACTTTCATGAAGTGCATTTGTTCTACTCTGACATCACATTTAGAGCTCATTTTTCCATTTTACGAAATAAGCCAGTTTGGTATCTCAATGAAGTAGTCCATGTCAAAGGTCACTCGGGTTAAAATCGCTGACGTGATGATACATGATGATATACGTGATGTTACGCGGATGCCCATTCTGTTTGTTAACTACACGCGAGCGTCATGTGCCCGGGTCCCTGCGCGTTCATGCGCCTTCGATGAGCATTGGATTATCCCGAATGACCTGTGACCCATATTGTGCGAATGCGCAGTTGAAATACCCAACTGGCTTATAACAGTATGTTCTGAGCACATGCACATGGCTGCACAGTGCACACAAATGAAATACAAATGGCTGCATTCAGATGTTTTCAAAACTGTTCTACACAAGGGAATGAAGAGTCTGTGCTGTGTAGTCATTTCATAAAACTCATGGAGTCATTCACAAGTATACACAGCCTTCGTGTATTTCACAGTAAACTAGTGCGTCAAGCTCATTATAACCTCCCCCCCCCCCCAAAAAAAATATTCCGACTGTATTGTGATCTTTCCACTGATTGTAAATGTTACAATTGTTTAATAAAGTTTTAAAGTGATGTGTATAAATGTAATGTATCATTGTATAATAAACAATGTATAGATATATGGCAGACAATATAATAATGATGTAATCTGTAAATACTTAACCGTTTCTCAGCGCCAAAGGTGACAATACGATACCAACTATCAACAAAAAAGGCGGAAAACCAAACTGTGAGTGCTAAATTTCATTTTCATTTCACAGTTTTTTCAAGTTAGTTTATGATTATGTCACTTTTGTCAGCATTGTATAATAATATTGGCAATTATGTAAGATGTCCAAAACTATACACAATCACTATTATTGTGTAAATAAAGAGGAACAACAAGAGTTGAATAATTGTGTGACCGCCATTTTTTGACGGTCGTTGACATGACAATAGTTTAACACGAGTCGTTCGCACTTTAACTTCAGTGCGAATGCGCTAGGTACGTCATGAACCAACCACTAGTTCAACCACTTGCCCCTGGGTGCATGAGGACTATAGGCGGCCCTCTGAGAGAGCAAGTTCACCAATACTCTCCCTGAGGAAATCACTGATATGCTAGACCACAAGTAATTATCTGCAATTGTCAAACCATCTGTACAATATACATTGTACTGCTTGCTTTTGTCATGATTGGCCTGTGATTGATGAGTATGTTTAGCTATAGTATGAACATATATCAGGCAAAGTCCAACAACCTGTCAAGTATTTCTTGTATTTCTCATTAAAATGTAACTATACACAGCTTAAGTGTATCTAAGGGGTATACTCAATAAAAACTGAGATATAAGATAGTTGAAGAGACATGAATGCATGTGCTTATTTTGTTGATACATTTTGTAAATCTTACACAAGCTTCACGGTTAACCGATACATGCCGGATGAATTGTATACTCCCAAAGGTTTTGTGGTATTCAGAACAGATCGATGACGGATAGACACACAGGGAGTAAGCCCGGAAATATCTGTCAGCAACCCGGGCACAGCAAGCGAGGCCAGAAATATGAGGGTGATGGCTTCAACACACCTTACTTTAGGTCGAGTGAAAATCAATCACGCGCCTCCTTCCATTCTTGTGAAAGTAATCCCGGCGTGAACTGGTAAATACCACAGTCAACGAAAAATTCTAGATTTTAAAGCTACATGTATATGTATTGTCGCATATAGAGCACCGTAATTACAGTTTGACCCATCATGAAGGACACACATGTACATACACTTTCTCCATATAGTCAGTATTTAACATGGTGTCAGAAGTGGGATTTTTGTGTTTTTTTGTAAATGAACTTTAAAAAAAAAATCTGTTCAGTTTTGCCATTCGCTTTTGGCAGAACCCCCCCAAAAGATCTGATCTAATTTTTTTCCCTTTTTATTTTAAATAAAAAAATTGCCGGATGGAGTGAGGAGTTTCACCAGGCTTTAGTATCAGGAATATCATGGAAAAAGATAATGGAATCCTGCACAACCAATATGTGATGTTGCATAATATTTGCAGAGTTGTAACAAGTCAATGAATTTTGTGACTCGAATCGAGTCAAGTCATTTCAAGGAAGTGAATCGAGTCGAGTCGAGTCGAGTCGAGTCACTAGGTCCAGAAGGTCAAGTCAAATTAATGCTCAAGTTTTTTCGAATCACTGACATTTGAACACCATCTAATAATGTCAGAATGGAAGACGGAACACAAGGCACCAGTTTATTATAAAGATCCAAAGACTTAAAATGTGCTGCGTGGTACCCAAGACAGTTTCTGCAGGACCTTTCTACCAAAGATGTACGTACCCGTAACAGTTCAACAAGAAGTGAAACTTCAGTTTTATCTCTGGTTTGGCTTCGGGTCTGGAATAATTTTTCGGCTGACAACATTTTGATGTTGCAACACAACCAAATTACAACGCACAAAACTGTTTCTGATTATATAGAAAAAATCTAATTTTTTGTTGTTGAAAAGGACATACATTCAGCTTGAATTCCATAAAGGACTTAATAAATCACCCGAAGCCGATGATGAACCAAGAATTGAGAAATGCGTTTAAAGTCTTGTTAAAGGATACTAGTTTGTGCACTACGTTATACAACCACGAGGAAGAGTCTGTGAAATGGCGCACATTTGATAGTAACGTCAAATACGCATTCCAACATTTACTTTGTGACTTTAGTGGAGTCACCAAACCTTGTGATTCAAGTCTCGACTGGAGTCATTACAACTTTGACTATTTGGCTACAGATGTCTTCCAGTTTGTTTTCCTGTTTACTATACGCCAGGATAGAGTGATGGCAATTTTACGTCCTATTTTTGTAGAACATTTTCACAAATTAGTATCTGAAAGTGGTTCATTGTCTTTCAGCAGATTGTCACCACACCAGTTACAAGCACAGTTGAGCTCATTTTTCTTCAAAGAGGAGAATCAGCGATTCCAATGTTCACTGGGCCACGCATGCAGTGCACATGAACCAGTAACCATGGTTGCACCAAGTTGTCCTCTGAGAGATGTCATGACAATCTTTCTATTGTTTGTCCTCCTAAAACCCTCATTACGTAAGAAAAAGGCATGTTTAGGAAGTTTCTTATTGCATTTGTTGATATTTTTGTATTTTCAACAATCAAAATATATATATGTGATCATTAATAACTATTGATATTGATGACTGGCCAGAGCATTGTAAATAGGCTCCTAAGATGCCAAAAAGGCATATGATTCAGTCATGGGCAGCCCCAATATTGTCATGGGAATGTCATGAAATCTCATTTTAAGGTTTCTGTGCAAACCCGGATGATTGGACTGGGAAAACAACGTACCTCACGACATTCTCAAAACTGAGGCAGCCATACACTCATAGTGTTAAATGTTGTAGTTTACATATGTATGTATGCAAACAATGCACAAAGAAATATGCCAATTATCTAAAGGAATTACAGACAAGGAACAAGTAACTTTTTTAAGTTTTGACTTCAGAATCAAATTATATTTAAATTGTTTAAATTATTCTTCTATCATATTTTTCATAGCATTTTACTTTTAATAACATTTTGTAAAACACACAAAAAGAAACTGAAATATATACTTTTTACTTGAACATGAAATGTCACCAAAAGTTAAATGATAACCTCCCCCATTCAAACGAATTTAATCATATCATTAGGTACAATATCATTGCAAATACATGTACCAATTATGAGAGTGGACTTGTATTACTTTATAACATACCACCCTGTTCACCTGTAAATTTGGCTTACTATGGTTAATTTCAGGGGGAAGTATAAACTTTCTGGTTTTGACCAATCATTTTTACTACCTCCAATTTACAACCAGAAGACACCCTGAATTTTTGCAATGACCACCTCTTCACATTTGAAATTAATACTTCGTGAGATTGACTGAAACAAAATCAGGGGAAAATTCAAGCATAAATGTCTGTTGCAATGACACTTGGAGAATACTTACATTCCAAATTGTACCATAACATTTATGACACCACATTAAAGGTAGAGTAGATCAGTTGCAGTCAAACTTGTCTTTGAAAAGCTTACATGGCTAAAAGATGGCACTAATTAAACTCCCTGTGACATTGCTCTTTCTGGTATGCATGCTGTCATTTTGTAGAAAACATTAAAGAAGGCCTTTTCCAAAGATGCCTCTAGTGATGCAATTTTGGGAATTTCCGTCAGCAGTTGGTTTGTAATTCGGCAAATCTGTGTAGTATGCCCGTCACTTGTCAATTCCGTGTGTGACATCGTGTAGCTGCTATCGGTTGAATGGGAAAATGTCCTGGATGCTGATTTCGGGCGCAATTCAAAACATGACACTGCAACTTTTGAATGGAAACAGAGATCTTAGAATATTGTTTTCTCAGAATGTACAGCATTCACTTAGCTAAAACTTCATCAGGTTAGTTGTTAAGCACTGTCTTTAGATTTTTAGCACTTTTGTTGCCTCAAATGAAAAAAAAAAACCAAAAATGATTTACCCTGCCTTTAAAAGTATGTCAACGATTCCACAATACGTGCATATATGTATAACCTCACATATAATGAGCACTCATGAATCATCAAGGGTGCTCAGACTGACCACTTTCATCAGCTACTTGCGCGCATGGTACATGAGTGATGTTCCCAGCCACAAGTACATAATCTGTTTCTTTCTTGCTGTTGAAAATGTCTTTTCCATTGTGTTGTATTATTGTAGTTGTGTGACCTCGGGTACGTTTTACGAGATGTGCCACTGTAGTCTGGTTCCCTGTCCTCATTGTCCATCGGACTTCAAATATGGGGACAGGTAGCTAGGAGTGAACCTGACTACATCTGGCGGCATTCCTCCTGATGTATGCACATTATATGCATGACGTGCATGGGTCTGAATCCCGCCTCGTGAATTCACAATAACAATGGTAATGGTTGCGCGCAACCAGCCTATTGCAAAATGGCAATAGGCTGTGCTGCTTTGATTTTTGCTGAATTTGAAAGTGTCTCTTGCAAATTACAATACAGAGAGGGAAATTACTGTGCAGTATTAAAAACCTATGCAGTTAAAATGCCTGAAAGTTGCCCTCATGGAGACACTGACAATTTTGCGTACTTTTTGTGGTGAGGCAAGAGTGACGCTTTTTTTTTGGACAATCATGTGTTCAATCACCGTCCATACACAAAGCTAAGCAGCGATTCAAAAATAAACAACCATGATGCATGCACGCAAAGGTGATCAAATCAATGGCTTTAAATGGGAACCAGCTACCGGTCCCCATATTTTAAGGGGGGAGGGCAGGAAACAGTCTAGTACCATTGGGAAAAGTGAAGCAATATTTCTGCTACGACCGCCATTGTTGTGTACATCATTCGTCACAGTTCGTCTGCTTTTCTCATTTACTGTGCAAATTTCGCCTCCAAAGAAGAGGTTTCTCTCTTGTTCCAGAGACGAGATCAGAAATTTGATTTTTGAACAGGACAGCATCAACACGAAGAATTACAGAAAATTCTGTGCGAAAAGTATGTACCGCAACAGGAAGAGACCCACAGTTTCAGTCGTTAGTAATCTATTACCGTGGTATAACAAAGCAATTGTTGCCTACTGTGACGGGTTCATGGGTTTTGTACACCCTCAGGGGCAAATGGCATTCGCTTCGGGTGCCATTTGCCCCCGAGGGTGTACAAAACATCATGGACTCTGCCACAGCAGGCAACAGTTGTATAATGTACAATGGATACATTAACAATGCATGACCTTTAAATTTCCTCTTTTTTTCAAGAAAATCGATGCACTCATTTTGGACATGACATGCGATAACTATTCCTGCACAGCCAGGAATAGTCCAGATATAGTATTTTTCTAAAATATGGTACTGGTATATTTTTCAGTAACATAATACAGAACCAATAATACTTTCAACCTACAAGTAAGTGAGCACAGAAAACAAACCTGTTATTACACGATTAATCCAATTTCTTGTATCCAGTTTCCTAACACTACCTGAAATTTACTCCTTTTTTTATCTCCAAAAATTAGCAAATAATGCTTAGCAAATAATTAACAAATAATCATTTTCATAATAACAAAAATGCCCCCCATTTCCCCCCAAAATTGGAAAATTACTGAAAATTAAGTTTTTGGGTGTTTTTAGAAATTACTTATTTCACTTTGTTTAACCCAGCACCCATCCTAACATTTCCGTTCAGTTTTGAAAGTGCATGTATCATTCTGCAACTGTGAAAGTTCTGATGTGGCACATTATAATGAAAGGAGCAAAAAGAAATGAAAAACTGATGCAAACAACATGATGTATTCAAGCACATGGCTGGGTGTGTGGTATGCAAACCTTCATCACTATGGACATGTAAGCATCATCTCATACTATCCTCAGCCAAGTGTGTCATGTGTCTTCACTTGGATTAGTAACTCACGTACCGTGTTTCAACAATGCACAACCCTTCATTAAAATAGGCCCTTTTCTCTAATGAAACAAAACGCATTCTTCAGATCCTGTTTAGTGCAGCATTGGAATTGCTTTGACATGATGCAAACCACTGTTGTTTATACTGGACGACTTTCTTTGGTTAAATTCCATGAGAAAGGGCAGTGTTGTGAAATCTCATCTCGCACACTCAGATTAATGGCGGCCTGTAAATTGACGCCAATAAGCTTGAATGTTGAATGTATTAATAAGTGTACTACAACATTGCAATAGCCAATGCAATCACAATGGATGATCCAAGCACAGCATAGCCAGTTGAGTACATCGACTTCAAATCCATACCTCGGCCTGTATCCCAAATCTGTAAATGTATCAAACAAGTAATTTCACACATTATTCAGGCTTTTAATTCATGAATAATAAAATATTGTCCTCACACAGGAAACATAGAACAACAGTCATGACAGAAAATAAAAGTGAAGCCACTGAAAAACAAATAGGCCATACATGTACATTCCCAAGGGTAATACCGGTACCTTGAGCTTGACCTTTCAACCCCAATTGATCTTGGGGATGAAAGGTCAAGTTCAAAGTATTACAGAAACTTTTGTTTATTGAATTTTCATTCCATGTGAACCTTGACATACATGTATGACCTTTTCCTCATTTAACATACCCATGTCAACATTTCATTCATAAATAATAATAATAAAACAGCATTTCTATGGTGCAATATGAATCAACATTCCTCAAAGCGCTTAACTATAGAACGAGAAACAACAACAACTTGAGGCTGTAGGAACAACCACACTGTGTTGGGCAATTGATTACTGCAAACTTTGCCACACACATTAACTCCAAATGCATGTTTGACTTTTTCAACATGCCGCCAGAGAGCACTCTGACATTTGATGACATCACCTGTAATATTTTGTACAGTACTGTCTAGGCAGACACTCACATCATTGAAAGCAAGTTCCCATCTTCTGCCAATTGCAAATAATAAGGCACTTCTGGTTTCGACTGGAAGGAAGGGTCATGTGATTTTGCTCTTAATACCGAAAATTAACCATGCAATATTGTATCGATTGCCATAAATAACAAAATCGAATCCCTAACAGTTGCTTATATATTGATTTTCAAAGATCAAATCTAGAAATCTTTGATTGCTTGTAATATACCTGATGATGTCATCGTGACGTCATTACCAAAAAACTCAAAAGCTACGTTAGCTGTGCTATTTGTAGCGACGTCTTGATTATACCTATCTGTTGCGGTTGATTTTTTAGCACTTTTTAAAAAAATAAAAGGTCTTGTCATTATAACTTCCGGTCTGATGAAGTCATCAATTTTTTTTTCGCGCACGGGTCTTGTATGCATGAAGGTCATTATACACATTAATTTTGAACTGATTACCGCAAACTTCGCCACACACATCTACTGAAAATGCTTTTTCTACATTTTGTTCCTGCTGCTAGAGAGCGCTCTAACATTTCATGACGTCACCGACAATATTTTTGGAAAGTTCAACCTAGGCAGACACTAACATTGTTTAAAGTAAGTTCACATCTATTACATCTAAGTATCACAATTATTAGGTACTTCCGTTTTCGACCGGAAGGGTGGGTCACGTGATTTCACGCGCACAAGATCATGTACTATCATATCATCAACAAAAATTCAAGTTCCAGTCTCTCACGGGGGGATTTCTTATTGATTTTCAAAGATTAAATTTATTAATCTTTCAAGTGACCCACAATGACTTCATTATGACGCAATTACAAATAACAGCGTTGCTGTTGAAACCCCTCAGCTGGAGTTTGTCGAAAGGGCAAACCGACATTCCAAACTCAAATATCATGTGTAACTAAAGTAATCATGCAGAAACCATTAACTCATCACGGTGCCCTTGACCTTTGACCCCCAAACCAATCCCAACTTGCCTGTACCCAAGGGCAACCCCTACCTAAGTTAGACACCAACATATCATTTACAACTTAAGTTATCATCCGGAAACCATTTACGTTTAACTCAACACGGTGACCTTTACCTTTGACCTTTTGACCCCCAAACCAATCCCAACTTGCCTACTCCCAAGGGCAACCCCCTACCAAAGTTAGACACCAAAATCTCATTTTTAACTCAAGTTATCATCCGGAAACCATTTACCTTTAACTTTCCACGGTGACCTTTACCTTTTACCTTTTGACCCCAAAACCAATCCCAACTTGCCTACTCCCAAGGGCTACCCCCTACCGAAGTTACAATCCCAAACGACATTTCTAACTCAAGTTATCATCCGGAAACTAAGCTGCCCGGCCCGACGGACGGACAGCCGCCCGGACGAATGGCCTAGGCGATGACAATACCCCTCGAGTCTCTCGGCTGAGGGGTGAAAAGCACAACTTCAGTGGGTTTTGCACTCAGGTATTGACAATGGAAGTTCATTTCATTTCATTTTATTTCATTTCATTTCTTTTATTTGTCTCAGATCGTGGCCCGGAGGGCCAAATTCCAAAAGACAATGACATTATAAACAATTAATTCTAAAAGCGATTGAAACTTGCTGAATACAAAAAAAAATGAGCAAAATACTAGGCAGGCAATACATTAAAATTGTGCATAAACAAACACCACATAACCAGGGAGACAGAACTATTCAAGAAGGAGGGACAACATGCAGGCCCCCCTAAAAAATATTGCGCACAATAAAAACACACAGAGCCGGCATTTAAAATGTTAATGAAGTAAAGGATGGGACTTTGTTGGAAGCGCTTGGTTCTAATAGGGAGTTGAGTAATGTGGTTACTGTTCCTTAGGTTCCTACCATGACTTGCTAGCCTCGTGGGGGGGAGAAAGTGAGTTGTTCTTGAATTAGTACCAAGTGCTTTAGCAAATTTTAAGCAGTGTCCTACTCTTTTGCTTTCTAGTGCATCCAAGCTACATACATGTAGGTTGAGCGCATCCAAGTATGAAGTGTACTGATTCCCCATGATGGTCCTACAAGCTCTTTTCTGTATCCTTTGAAGGTCATCGGTTTGCCTTTTTGTTAAACTAGAATGCCATATCACATCTGCGTACTCGACCATAGGTCTGACATAACTGTTGTAAACAACCAAAAGTTCCTCGTGATCAAAGCCAATACATTTTCATTTTGACAAACAGTTCTGGAAAAGAATTTACTGAAATTGCTGAAGAGAATAATAGTAAATTTGTAGAAAAACAATAGGTGTTGGGCTCATGGCCCAACACCTAATAATCCCAAAAATAAATACCTGAGGCGGTGTACCTATTCCTATTGGTTGCCTATCATGTGCGTGGTTTTCAACCACTGTTTAAACACCACTGAGAAGTGTTTAACACATAATTCTGACATAAAAAATCCAATGGTGGTGTGGTTTATTCCATGTACGATGCCTGTGGAAATAGACATGCTCGGAGTGTGCGAATGGAGTGGTATATTCCGTGTACGGTACGATGCCTGTGGAAACAGACATCCTCTGAGTGTGCGAATGGACCACCTCCATTCGCACACTCTGAGCATGTCTATTTCCACAGGCATCGCAATATGCGAGAAGTGGTTTTTATAATGACCTCAACTTTTTTATTCATAGTTAATATTTGACAAAAACATTCCCTGAATAAAGTCTGATGTTTTCCCTGTAACGTTCAAGTTGATTAAAGACTATATGTCTGCAGGATGATTTCTTAAGACCCTGCCCTTCCCCCAAAAGGAAAACACAAATCACTGAGGCAAGTCTATTGATTGATGATTGGGGTGCCGTTCACTTTAAACGGTGTGCCTTTTTATTTTTGTTAATGCGCAAGTGTTTATTTTGATCCAGTAAATGTTTCTACGATTTCGCGGTGCAAATATGGTCGTTCGACTTCATTTTACATTTGCAGCTTAAGAATGGGAACCCAGTAATGGAACTTTTATAGACAGAGCAAAATTAAAGATTAATGTTAAAATATAAACGGCACCTTTTAGCAGACACTGTGAGGGAAAATTTGCAAGTTTTGGAAACGTAATATTTTTTAAAAATCGTTTAGAGTCCCGAAAGACACAACATTTTTTGATTGTCCTTTTTATACAACTTGGCAAAACGTCCTTAATGACTAGTGAACTGGATAAAAATCACCACTTGAAGGAGTATTGGCAACGAAAAAAGAGAAATTTCCCATAATAGGGATGCCGCGATAACAGGGAGTCCGACTATACATAGTAGGAACAGCAATCACACACTCTGTTCGCGAAAAATTGTTGAACTAAACATAGCACTGTCAGAATTTATCAATTTTTCTACTTTTGTGATTTTTTTTATCAACAAGGTATTTATGAATGGGAGTAATAGTGTGGTGGAGCAGTTTTTAATAGCCCTTGCCTCTGGCTCAGACCGTTATCGGTGGCCAGGCCCCTACCCAGTTTTAAATCACACATTTGAAATTGTTCCACCACTCTATCATTTAGGCAATAAACAGTGTGATAACCCAGTCTTCACTGCATGATAATGACTGGATTGGGAGATGGCCGCTTATTTCGGAGAGGTCCATTAACAGCGACCATCCCCCAACCCAGTCATTACCACGCAGTGAAGACCAGGTCATCACACTGTTATCCCATTAAAAAATACACGAAATAAACAATCAAAATGCTCCGAATTGGTGACTTTTCTTTTGGCGATATTTCCAGGCATTTTGTGTTCATGTTCGGGGCCATACATTAGCTCATGCATTGTTATCGTCACCTTAGCCAAGGTTGGACGATGTCTTTATTGCACTTCAACTGACACCTAGGGTATGAACTTCTGCTGCCATAGCCAAAAAAAAAATGTACAAATTTGTTTTTAATATTTTTACCCGACGGAGGAAGGTGAAATTTCGTTTACATATTCCTTGCGTCCAGAATTACAAAGATGTGCTCGGTTTAGTCAAAGTTAATATGTCCGTGGGTGACGTGTTTACAGAAATAAATTGCAGATCCACACTTTCGTCGTAAACATCCTCAGCACAAACATGTCAAATGAAGACTTTTACGCGCAGGCGCGTACGCACGCGTAAGTCTTCACGTGATCATGGTTGGCTGTATCAACTACAAGCTACCGTAGGACTGTTGTATATTTGGCCAATGTCATTGGCTAGCATGATGCTGGGTCAACGCTGGTTCAGGGGCCATTTATTCGCTTGTTCTTGAAGCCGGTATTTATAACACATGTTAATCAGGGGTGTGAGCGACCACTGATAAAAATAGCTGAAAACAGCTGGAAAAGGTGTAAAAAAAGCTGAACTTTGGAAATCTCCTATACTTTTGTACACAGCAAGTGAGGGAAAAAAGCTGAAATCCAAAACAAAAAAGCTGAAATAAGCTTTAAAGCTGAGATTTCACACCCCTGGTTAATACATACCCACATGACCGAGTCTCGACCAATCAGAAGCTATCAACTATCCAAGGTGCTAATCAATCCCATATAACAAAAAGGTATCTGCTGTACACAAGTTATCCAAAACAATTCCCTACATACATGTATTAAAGCCAATGCAATACTTCTTTTCCTGTAAACAACATTTCAGCCACATTTCACATCCAAGTGCTATATGGGAACATGTAATGTGCAAGCATGAACTCACCATATGTCGTATTCCATTTATGTAATGATAGCAGAATGGCCAGGTAACATATAACTTGGTCAAGAAGATAAGTGCAGGACCATATGAAAGTGACTTGACAAGAGCCAGATTGGATGCCAAATCACCAGGGAGTAGGTTCACGCTCACTCCAAAGGCAGCAAGCCCTGTAATCAAAGGATAGGCAATCCCTGCTGGTCAATTCATTGCATAATATTCAGCTCATATTTAAAGGTACAGTAGATCATTTGTAGCAATCCAAAAAGTAACTTACAAGATTATTGTTGAAAAGCATACTTGGTTTGAAGATAATAATGGCACTAAACTCCCTGTTAAAATATTCTTTCGAGGATGTTGTCATTTTGAAGAAAACAATAAAAGAAGGTCATTTCCAAAGATTTTTTTTCCTTCAAGTTTTAGATATTTCTGTTAGTAGTACGTTATCAATTCGGCGAAGCCATAAACGCGTATAATCATGATTTAGAGGCATGCTGCCACCGCTTGGGGAAAGTGTGTGTAGCAGAGAGCTTAGATCATCCACCATCACTGGCATGCAGGTTCCTAAGTGTAGGTCCGTTAGATACAACAAGTCCACCATTCCATCATTAGTTAGCATATTCAATAGTATCAACTAGTGATTTTATTTGGGTATGTACAGGTAGTACATGTACATGTACATGTACACAGTACATGTATTTTAAAATATTTTCAGTGATTTATATTATGGTTTTGCCCTGCCTGCGAATATGAAGGGGGGGGGGGCCTACTCTGGGTTTGTTATTTAGCTTGCCACTGCAGTCCGTTTTTACTATTTGTGCATTTGTTGGGTTATGGTAATGCTTGTTTGTTAGTTGCTTGCTTGTTCGTATTTTATCAATTTCTCTTTTTAAACTATTTGTATCTATATGGAACGTAAACTTTGGTGTGTGTGAATTGTATTCCTTGTATATCATGTCTTTTGTTTAGTTGTTTGTTGGGTTTGTTTGTACGTTTGATGTTGGGTTTTTTTTGGGGGGGGTAAGGATTGTGTAGGTGATCTAAATGGCTTGTGTTAAACTTTTTAACTGTTTGTATTATCTTTTAAAATCATCTTTTGTATGGAATGTAAATCTTAAATTTTGGTGTGTGAATTTCATGCTTTGAATCATGTCTGTTTGTTAGTTTTTCCCTTTTAAATTTAACTGTAACTGTAATTGTATGAACTTTTAGCTCTTTTTTGTAAATATTGTAATTATCAGCATTTATGATGTATGTGCAATATATTTTGTTTTTAATAATAAACCAGAATAAAAAAAAAAACATTTACCAAACATTAACCACTCTTCAACTGTCATCAATACTGCCATGACATGGGCACACATACCAGCAACCCTGAAATTTAAATGGTCACTTTAGTGACTTACATGTACCATTAGGAAAGCCCCCTATATTCCACCACATCGCATGGTACTTTGCACCCTTACAAATTGAAGGGTTACCATCTTTTAGAAAACTGTACCATTTTTGTTCCCCCTTTGCTCCAACATTGTGTTGACCCTACTTAGCGCTGCGAAAATAATTGCAGAAACGTGTACATTTTGTATTTTATTTTATTTTATTTATGGGCAATTCCACACCAAAGTGGACATGACACCAAAAAATTCAAATACATGTGACTTAAACAAATTTGGCATCAAATGAAAGCTAAAAGTCTATATTTTCAAGATTTGAAGTCGGAATTTTATTTTTTATACATTTCGGTACCAAAAAATAGGATTATGTAATAATCCTGTTTTAATCCTAAAAATATGATTAATAGTGATATGAAAGTATTCTACCAATAGACACACAAAAATATGTACTAATGCCATCAGTTTCTGTCATGAGAAAGTATTGGTCTTGAAAAACCGACTAAAACTTGTTTTTAACATTTTGCGTAATTTGTTTCGCTTCAGTGACTTCTAATATTTCAGCCTTCGAAAATGTCCTTCCGTTACCGAAAAAATACATATTTTTAATTTATTTTTAAAACTTGCAGTAGGAATGCATTGAAAGTTATTGTGCAAAGCAAGTTTAGGTAGGCCTTCAATATGGCATTATAACTGACACTGCTGTACTTCTCGTTTTTTAATTACAATTAATTAAATCACGTCCTTCCGTTACCAAATTGGTAACGGAAGGACGGTAACGGAAGGACAAATAGTATTTTTATCAAATGTTACGACATTTGCGCTCATGTTTGAAAAATGAAAGTCACTGCAAATACATGCATGTATAATGAGCATTGAAAGGACATTCATGTGACCCACCTTCACAAAAGCAGGATAAGCAGGGCAAGGTGTTTATTACAAAGGAAGGCACAGGCATGTACAACATGTACAATGTACATGTACATATATGCCGATGTACCAGTACTTGTACATGTATGGAGTTGTTGCAGAAAATCAAATCATAAAGTTGCTGCCATCAGCATTCATGGACAATAGAGAAAGATACGAATTCTGTGAAGCCATTCCAGAAGCAAATTAAGTCAAAAATGAGATGGCAGAAAGTACCGGTACTTTGGGGCACTTTCATTCAATTTACATGTGTAAGACATGTGAGGTGCAGTCTTTGACAAATTATGCCCAAGTTAACAACTTCAGTTTGGATGTTTATAAATTAATTGTTACTACTCTAAATCATTGTAATTTGATTTCAAACATTGATTTTAGAGTTCAATTAAAAGCAACACCTAACTGAAGCCATCAGTTCTACCGGTAGATGTTTTTACCTTAAATGTACATGTAGGCTGGTCGCCCCCCCCCCCCCCCCACCCTTTAGGTAAACCTTTGAACCTACCGGTATTATTATTAAAAGTTGTTGGTGAACATGTAACCAATATACTCAAGAGTTCAAATACTGTGTATTTAAACTTTTAAGGATTGAGGTGATGGATTTGAAGTCCATTTCTGTAGTAGTCCTGTGTTCGTGAATTATGTGTTTTGGGTTGTTTTCGTTTTTCTTTTGTTATCATTAATTAGCAGGCTTCTATCTTTATCTCAATAGTTTCTTGGGTATAATTATTTATGCCAGGTCTGCATATTGTTGATTTCACATTCAGTTACACATTTAAGCAATTTGTTTCACTTGTATAATTTTTTGTAAATTCACATTTTGTTCATGCTATAATTGAGTAAACCTTTTGTCCTTCCGTTACCGTCCTTCCGTTACCAAATCATAATCTGCTTAAAACGTTGTAATTATATTACCGAAACACTTAAAGTCAAATGAAAGGCGGTATAGCATAGATAAAGCTTCAGGGATTCCATTTCCTACCTTTAAAATATAATTGCCCCATAAAATTCACAGAGTTTTTGCAAAACGCGAGTAAGTTGGAAAAGCCTTGTCCGTTTTACCGTCCTTCCGTTACCGACCTCATTAATATTCATAATTCATAAACGGGAGGCATTCATGCCCCCCAAAAGTGTGGAAAATGAAAGTAGCATTATAGCAATACAATTGTGACATTTGTTTGCTGTAACTATGAACAGTGTCTGTGATACACACATTTGAAATTTTGTTTAATGAGTGTAAACGTCCTTCCGTTACCGTGGAATTGCCCTTATGTGATCATAATCCATTCATACGTATTCCTTCATAAAAAAGCCCCCTCCCCCCCCCAAAAGGCATTCCATTTTACAATGTTAGCCCGCTTTGGTATCATGTAAATATAAGAACAAGCAGAAGCGTGGTGGTATATACAGGCTGATGAATCCCATTAAAATATACTACAGCGCCGTGGACGTGGTAAAGGCATGTCATTATGGCCCCTCGTCTGGTGGGTGACACTGTAGCAGACAACTGGCCCCACCCTGGGTTGACTACAATGCGAGTTATTTGTTGGTCCCGATCCCAGACCCAAGATAAGAAGTTTCCACTGACTATTGGTAAGCCTACTCATAATGACATTAACGCATGCTACATACCCGGCTTTGCAAAAACATACAGTTTCTGAAATCATTTTCCTTGAAACGTCTACTACAATTCTTATGACTTGAGGTGCTTCCGATTTTCTCTGTGATCTGAAGACTTTGGCAGATACTTCTACATCTCCTTCAATGCTTTTACGCTGAAGCTTAACTTCATGTACATACTTTTCTTTAGAAAATAATTATCCTCTCCTCTTCTGTCTTAACGTAACCTGACATGGAAGATACGACAGTACGTGCTGTTTTTACATCCTGCATGACCTGCACACGGTGAGAAAAGTTCTCTCACAACTAAGTATATGTGCAGCAAACGCTTTGAGTGCGTGTGTGTAATGCGCAACGTTGTACGATACTAGTAGCGCGTATCGCGCATCGCACACACGAGTGCACGTGCAGCTCGTGTTCCAAGTTGTCTAAGGGGTGTTGCTAACTAGCCAACAGGGATAGGTCAATTATAACAAAGACATACATTTCTGGGAAATACATACAATGTAACACAGTGTTCATACAAATCTGTACAGGTATGTGTGCTATTAATTATTCATACAGATTGGGATGCGGGATGTTAGGGCGTTATAGGGGCTGTTTGGTTCAGATTCTTCCCAAAGCACCAAATTCGGCACAGATGTCGTCCATACCATACTATTTCGATTTTGACGGGTGCCAAGACAGGCGCCCCACGGGGCCGCCATATTGGCAAAATCCAATATGGCCGCCAACCGGGTCAGAGGTCAATCAAACTAAACGAGCTAGAATCATAAGTAATACCACTTTTCAGGTATTTTTTGGGTCGAGCAATCTGAATCTGATGTTATTTTAACGATTTGAGGCAAGACAGATGCCCCAAGGGACCGCCATATTGGCAAAATCCAAAATGGCCGCCACTAAAGTTGCTAGAATCGTGAGTAATACAACTTTGGAGGGGTTTTCGGTGTCAAAGAATCTGAGGTTATTTTGATGATTTGATGCAAGACGGATGCCCCAGGGGGCCGCCATATTGGAAAAATCCAATATGGCTGCCAGCCAAGTTTGTAGAGGTCAGTCACAGTTAAAAACTAAACGAGCTAGAAGCATTAATAATACCATTTTACAGGGGTTTTCAGGGTTGGAGAATCTGAATCTATTGCTTTATTAAAGATTGTAGGTCACATTTTGCCCTAAAGGTCATTAGGGATTAGACTTTTCAATAAAGATTACTGTTTGAACTATTTTTATTAAAATATTTGGAGATGATATCTGCAGTGACAAAATGCTATATGCCGCTGTGTGCGTTTGAATGGAGCTGTTTATTTACAATATGCACATGAACCAGTGATTGATGATATTACCACCTATACGTTCTGGCCCGCCCTCTATGATGCCCGGCCAGAGATGTTTACTCCACTGGTCATCACCACCGTCCAATTATGCACATTTCTCCATAATTTGTAGAGGACCTTGCATAGAAACCCAGTGTGGTTGCATTTCTACCTTCCCTTGCATGAGGCAGCCGCAGTGCAAGAAAATGGCGCATTGAGAGTTGGTCCATAGTGATTGCCATGTACTGGTACCATCTTTGTGCCAGCCTCACTCCATGAAGTCAGGAATTTCATGCTGGACCGAGGTGGCCTGCAGTAGCGGTTGCTTCATATGTTCAAAAAGCACGGCAGGTAGCTGGGATGCTTCCGACAAGCTGCTTCCAGAAGTGAAGAAGCGATGCCTGGCCCCTTTGACACCTGCAGCTGCACCACACCCCTTGCTCTGCATGACATGGCAAAGCAAGTCGTGTCGCACCATGTTAGGCTTTGGAAGAGGGGTGGTGTCAAGGACTTTGTCGGACCAAGATCGGAGTAGATGCTATAGACTAGTGTCACTGTACTTTTCACCACTTCTGAAGCCCAACCAGAGCTCCAATAGGCCGAGAATCTCCAAAACAAGTTTGAAATGATCTCGGAAGTGATCGCAGTGACTCTCAATCCTTCATGCTCAGTATGTCGCATATTGAACTACTCCCATTACATTCTTACAATGATCTGAGTAGGCGGCATCCTGGACCAGGTAAAGTGACGTGAGAGAGACTTAATGGGCGTACCTCGTGCGGCTTATGTGATGCTCATTGAGTTCAGACTGTGAGCGAATGTCAGGACCTCAGCCTTAGAAAGGACAGTGGCCCTCCCATCCTCCATGCCCAGAGTGAGGCAGGTGCTTCCCTATCACATTGATGAATGTCTTCAATGTGCAGCACGCTGCACGCCCATCATAGGTACAAACTTGTCTTCTCCTAAAAAAATCGGTGGTATTGACTTTTGAGAGCAGCTTGATGATATCATACAGTGACTGATCCAAACACGCCAGGCTGGCCTGGATTGAGGAATTCAGTGCCCTGCATCGTTAGTTCCTTCACGTGCTTGAACATTTCGGCAAGGGGCTTCGCTGACTCTTTTGCTGGCACTGAGTCAATTGTATCCCAATCTGGTGATGATATGTCACCATCTGCAGGCCTGCGTTGCTTCAGCAAGCTGGTACATGTGCCGTCCAAGCCTCATCCTTTCTTGACCTTGTCAACTTGCACATCAAGGGATGGCCTAGCTTCGCTTGTCAAGTCTGGGTGCAAAGACGTGAGTTCAATTTGGGGGAGGCTGGATCATGTAAGAATCAAGTAGCTTTTGAGTTGATGTGTCGGAGAGGTCAAGCTTGATGAGCCCGCTTCACTGCAGGGTTTCATGCAAGAAATGGATATTTACGGTTTGGACATATCACTGGAACTCACCAAGTGAGAGGTTGCCCTGAGCCTTGGTTATCTGTAATCAACATCTTAGGCGGTGAAGACAATGAAACGACCGTTGGTTGATACCGTAGCACCACCCATCCTCAGCATGGCGGGCACACACCACACGCGCCTGCACATCCTTACAATAACTTAGGACAATTTTCTCGCTCCAATTTAAGATTGTTTCTGTGGTATGTGTAGAGATGTCAAACTTTCCAACATGTACAGCTAATAGGAAAGAGTTTTTGTATATGGAATGACGCACCAGAAATACCAGGTTTAACCCAAATGATCTGAGTGGTAAACTTGACCTCAAATCATTAAAATAACATCAGAATCAGATATTTCGACGTGGGGGTCATATGGTGGCGGCCATATTGTTTTTTCTCCAATATGGCGGCCCCTAGGGCATCTGTCTTGCCTCAAATCATTAAAATGACATCAGATTCAGATTGCTCAAGGTGGTATTATTGAAGATTTTTGCTCGTTATTTGTTTATCTGTGATATGGCGGCCATTTTGGATTTTGCCAATATGGCGGTCCCTTGGGCGTCTGTCTTGCCTTAAATCGTTAAAATAACATCAGATTCAGATTGCTCGACCCCGAAAATACCTGAAAAGTGGTATTATTTATGATTCTAGCTCATTTAGTTTAATTGATCTCTGACCCGGTTGGCGGCCATATTGGATTTTGCCAATATGGCGGCCCCGTGTGGCGCCCGTCTTGGCGCCCGTCAAAAATCGAAATAGTATGGTATGGGCGACATCTGTGCCGAATTTGGTGCTTTTGGAAGAATCTGAACCAAAATATCCCTAAGACACCCGACTATGCATGAAGCACCAGAAAACTGACATTGAAATAAATACTCATTGTTTCAGTTTTCTTGCTATCAATCAGATTATACTTAATGATTTACATGCTAATGATGCACAATTCATGCCTAATATGTTTGTATACGCACCAGCATAAATGCCAAGTCCTGTGAAACGGTGAGAACCCGACAATAGTGCAGTCAATGGAAAGCTGAAAGAAAAAAAAACAATCTGGGATTCAGAATTAATGAGTTCACTCGCGAAAAAAGTATGACTTGCAATCCTTTGTAATTTTCCCTGAAGAATGAAGATATTGCTTTTTTCTATAGTAACCACCCCCCCCCAAAAAAACCAAAATAATTATGATTTTATGACTTTATGCTTATTTTTCGGCCATGGGCAGTCAGGTAAATGATAATTGTGTGTACAAAATGCATTTACGGTCAAATTTTGCTAGTATTTAGCCTAAAAATATAGAAGTTTTATTAATTAAAAATCAGTTGATGATGTCATTTTGACGTCATTTTGAAAACTATTAACATTGTGTACCTTACCACCAAGTTTCCTGAAGATCGGACCTACCCTTATATGTGTTTTTAAAAAATGCATTTTTGATGACGTTATGATGACGTCTCACAATTTTCACATTTTTGGCAGGGTGCGACCTTAGCGGTAGCTGCTAGCCAAATGTGAGTAAAAACAGCGGCCGGCGAGTCAAAAGCATTATCTCAAGTAGCCTGCCTGGCGAGTCAAAATTATTGAGATAAGACAAGGAATGTTTCTAATGTTTTTTTAATTTTTTTTTTTTTAAGTCAGTCTTAGAACAGAAAGTTTCTGTTACTGACACGTATTTTCAGCTTGTTTCAGGTCGTTGCATCACCAAATCTTGCACTGAAATTGCTAGCATATGAAAAAGCACACGACACAGCTCCAGCATACCGTCTGGCCTTTATATAAATGAGCGTGTCTATTTTAATACTCTGGCAATTGGCATGAATCAGTCGGGATGTACAGACAGTACTGCACTTACGGCACTCGTTGAAAAACCATGGCCTACTGTACTACATGTATGTAGTGTAATCTGGTCCCATTTTTCATTGTAAAAATGCCACAAAAACATCGATGGAGAAAGAAGATTTCTGCGACGTAAGCCCAGCTCACACCTTTCTGATTTTACCGATTCATCGAATCATGAAACCATCAAATGGAGGTGTGCACTGAAAATTGTGACCGATCAGACTGTATACTGGACGACCAGATGAAATCAAACATGATTCTTCGCATCTGATGTCACCGGATCCAATATCACCAGAAAAGTGTGCGGGCAGCAGCCCGATTTCATTGTGTGCAATATTTATGTTAGCCAATCAGATTCACGAAAGAAGTCACATGATTCAAAGTTGACTGGTCATCATGTCACTGATCATCATGTGACCATTACTGAATGGAATCAGGCATGTGTGCGGGTAATGTTGTGATCTAAACACAGCATTGAAGAAGCTGTACCTGTGATGGGGTGATTTTGTGGACCGGTAAAATCAGAAAGTTTGTGCGCCAGGCTTTAATTCACATAGCCAACTTGATCTCTCTTTTCTGTGTAGATTTTCCACTTTTCTGTATTTATTTTGAGGTTTTAACGCTGGTACTTGCGCCGATAACGTGTGGCCGTGCTGATTTTCAAAATTTTCAAGTTATACATGTACATGTACATGTATGCACATTGTTGTTTATAACATTCTGTGCAAACAAACTAAACATGCTATTGCTGGCTAGTGAACAGGCCTGCGGGCTAGTTAAGAGTTTGGTTCACTAATCTGGCTGGCTAGTGAAAAAATAGGGTCGGTCGGTCGGAAAATTTTTTGTTCTTTGCCAATTTTTTTGGTATGCAGATTGAATGGGGTATTTAATTATATGCAAAGTTTTATTTCCATTGCACTACGAAAGCTATAAAATTCAGATTTGTTTTTAAAGTGAAAAACTTGAATCTGGTTTCAATTTTTTTTAAACTTGAGGAAACTTAATTAGGTATTTGCCCTTCACCAACATTGGTGAAGGGCAAAAACCTAATTTGATTGATATCACCCCGACGCAAAAATTCCATCTTATAACAACTTGAGGAAAGTGGTGAGTCATGTTGGTTGCTCGAGTCATTTTGGTATCCGTCCCCCAAACTGCTGGATGTAATTGATCTCAACATATTACTATTTTCACTGACAGGTCTTTTATTTCCCTTTAATTCATTTATTCATTTCCTCATCTATTGAAAGTTGTTTTTCTCCTTCATCAATGATATCCCACACATGTTCACCTACCCAATGCTGGGGGGGCCCTTCCCCATAGCTCAATTTAATGACATCATCGTGTTTGATAGGTCACTGTACAAAAAGAAAGCCACTGTCCGATCTTCTCCTACATAATGATTAACGGTGAGGCGACCTAATTGTATGTGTGCAAGTTAGTTGCGAGTACTCAACTGAATGGTCAAGTGGGTGAACTGAATGGTCAAGTGGGCGGATTGGGTCCTACATGTACACAGTTAGAATTCAAATTTGTTGTCTTCTTAACCCCAGATTTCCCTTAAAAAAAAAACATGCAGTCTCTCTATGACTTGGCTGTTTGTTCAGAATGTGGCACAACAGACAACATACAAGTAGATTGTGTTCATGCATGGGGGAAAGTGTCCTAAACTTCTCCATCGTTAAAACAGAACAAAAACCAGATTTTTCTGCTACTATGTGGAAAAGCCAAAAAAAATAAAGGAAACTGATAATTTTCAAATTCTCTCTTTGATAACATCCGGTCTGATATCATAATTAGTAAACCTCGCAAAGTTTTTTGCATTTGTCCAAAGAATATATGGGGGCAATTTTGTAAAATGTTGACAAATGGTTTTTAAATTTTAAAAAAGAACTTTTTTGACGTGCCACTAGGGCACTGACGTCACCATGCCATTTTTTGTGTTTGACATCTCTCTCTAAACATTTCTATACTTTGTTTAATTGTAGTAAAATGTTCCGTTTTTAAGAGATAATAAAATTTCATTGCACCTCCAGTAATGTAAGTGACAGGTTTAGTGTGTGCGGTTTTACCTTTAAGCATGCGCGCGCGGGCTTGCCTTCAAATATGCGCGCAGGTTGTTTTACGATGCGCACACTGAGCATTCTATAAGATGCGTGTTCGTGTACGTTACTTTCACTTCATAATCCTACATAAGAGTGTTACATAATCGCTAGCTGCTTATTTCTTCATCTAATCGACTGCTTTAGGTAAGAAAATGCTCCTTTCTGTTATGTTATACAAATGAGCCATATAGCTTACGTTATTTCTTATTATTTCTTAGTCCTTTGCTATTATAATAGATCTAGGACATTTAAGAGTTTTGTTATTTGTATTCTCATTCAGCTTGGGCCACAGCGAGTCTCCTGCCGATTTACCACGGCCTCATATACATGTAGTTAAGCTGGTCTGAAGGCGTAAACGGTATATTGGCTATTTCAATCACTTGATATTAGCTACTTTATATTAATGCCTATCTCAGTATTTTGTTAGAGCGCAGACACGTCGTACTGGTTAAGAGAGTATATGCGCTCACATTTATTCATTTCATACGAGTGGTTGTTTATATAGTCAATTGATTTCATTGTAATTCTCTAATTAATTGGTGCTCATTGAACTCTATATCTGTATCTATCTTCTTTCAGTTTTCACGGTGATTCAAGATCAATAAATGCCTGTAATCATCAGTGAGAATCGTACGTCCGTTGCATCATCCATGACCAGCCCCCTAGAGCGCTTCAGCGCGCCTACAGTGAAAACGTAGCCTCAACGCAGATGTATCGCTGCTCCTACACCCCGATTTCCACATGCCCGATGCTCCAGCACGTCCCAGGGATTGCTTACAATTCTCCCGATGCCAGTCGACTGACTCATCGTGTCTTCGCCAGTGGTAAGCCAAAGTGGACAGCCAAGTTTTGTCGTGTTTCAGAGCCGGTCCTTGCTGACTTCAAGGTTTCTGCTACGTCAGCACGCACACTCTAATTGACGAGAACTGTCTTGGCTTAGTAATGATCGATTATAGTTAAAACGTACCGTAGATTAGTGCTATAATTAAAGTGACTGATTTATACCACTGTTCGAATTGCCCAATTGTAATGTATAAGCTATAAGCTATCGTTTTAGCTATTAACCCTAACAGCCCATAACCAATCAAACTCCAACAGTAGGTTAGTGTTTAAATCTGTTGGGATAGGTACAGTTCCCCTAAACAGATGGTCTTTTACACTGGGGTTGGCATACATGTACCTCCAGAAACTAAGTCCAACAGTGTGTGTGTACAATTTGTCATGTGGGTGTTGGAATTTGCCTGAATGGGTATGGTTCTTAGTAAATTAGGCTGGGGAGTTAGGGTTAAAGAAAACTATGTTCATTGTGTAAACATGGTATTCCCCACCCCCAAGTAGCAATAACTGTAAATACATAAAGTCATGTCAACAGTAGAAGTAGGAGAGCAAGAAGCTACTGTTACAGAGCAAGGCTTACGACGCAGTGAGAGAGAAAGAACATTAACGGAGAAAGCACAAATCCACCTAGAGCAAGCCATACAAGATAAAGAACGAAGGTTCAACAATGCTTACTCAAGGTGGAAGGCACAAGCCAAAGCGGCCAGAGGACTCCTCAAGACTTTCTTGCCTGAAGAGGAACTCAAGAATCAGCTGCAAGAAGTCCATAATTGCATCCAATGTCTTATGTGCAGCTACGAAGATGGAAAGAAACTGCAAGCACCGGACCCAGAAATACTCTGGAAGGTTGATTGTGCTGTCCAGGTTTCTGAAGATATCGATGCGCTGATCAAGAAATGACTGGAAGATGTGAAGAAACCAGACTTTAATCCTGAGGTCACATTGTTCAATATTCGTGCCAGCTTGGATAAGGCAAAAATATCCATCAGTCTTCAGTGGCATCACAGAGTCTCAGGTTTCTCCATCCTCTGATCGATCAAGTACCTCCAAGGTCTCACGCATTTCTTCGAGTAAGGTCGACGCAGCGGCTGCGTTAGCTGCAAGGAAGGCTGAGCTCCAATCAGTTCATGAAATTCAAGAACAAAGCAGAAAGATCAAGGAAGAGGAAAACAAGCTGGAAAGGCTGAAAGCTGAAAAGGGCAGGTTACCCGTGCCTGAACCAAGCACATTCAGCGGAAATCCGATGCAGTTT